TACTCAACTTTTTTAACGTAAAACTATTATACTTTATATTAGAAATAATGAAAAAATCGATAATATTATTAAACTATGCGTGATATTTACTAGGTTAAAGAGGGGAAAATTTTACCATAAAGGGAATTTATATTTTTATGCTTTACAACTCAATTTTTAATACTGGTCGATGATCCATTTTTTATTTGTTTAGATTTAAATGGAATATACAAGGATGGCATTTAAATCTGGTTTCAAACGAATTATTTGTCAATATATATAATCGATTTAGGATTTGAAAATAATTCAGAATAAAAGAGGGGAGGGGGGGGGAGAGAAAGAGATGGACGGTTAGAGAGATGGATTGGGGAGGAGATAAATGTTGAAGTGAGTAGAGAAGGAGGGAGCTTAAAATTCGCGCATTCTTTAGTTTTAGACTCTGCTTAATACTAGGCCGTATACCGTAAAGTCATAACTTTGTCCACCATCTTCATGTAGATTTTTATGAGTTATTAAGGAACGAAGAATATTGATAAGCTAGAGGGCAAAATTTGTTTAAAATTCTTCACATCTATACTTTGTAACTCTGGGCCCATGAATGAAATCAAAAAGAACAGTTTTTAGTTGGGAGCAAAAGAAATTGAACACTTACCACAAATTCTAAATTTCTAATCCTTATATTTATGCAGCCTGATAACAGAAATCTTTTATATTTAAAATGTCAACTAATTAATCTAACATAGTTCATAGATTGAAATATGATGGTCTACGACATCATGAAAGTTAGAAATTGTTCAGTTTCTTTGTAAAAAATTCATAAATCAAAATTATCGTTCAGAAATCTATTTTTAATTCGAATATTTATTTTTAATGTATCATTCATTCATGAGATACCAAATATAACTAGTGCAGTGGGACCCATAAAATTGTGGAATAGGCTGAAGTCATTTAATCAACCCTTGCTGTGTCTCATATTCATAGGGCTATCTTCTATTCATTTCAAGTACAAAGCCGACTTTGAACCTGGTACAGCAAGCAAGGCAAAATTGGACAGTACACCATATGAATAATCCCCTTTGAAATGAGAAATGTCTTATTACACAGTTTAATTTAATTATGCCAGTTCATTTTCCCGAACACTCCCTTTAAATTTTATTTTCTCGTTTCGGAAATATTATTTCAAATTACAAAATTTATTTAAAATTTCCAGGTTATCATGTCAAATTTAAGTCAGCAAAGAGTCTCTTAAAGGAAAGGATTGTCTCCAAGATAAATAGTTTTTAGTGTACTGTTTATTGATGAGCCAGTTGTGAGCCATGATGAGCCAGGAGCTGCCGACCATAGCAGTTTTGGTGTACTGTTTATTGATGAGCCAGTTGTGAGCCATGATGAGCCAGGAGCTGCCGACCATAGCAGTTTTGGTGTACTGTTTATTGATGAGCCAGTTGTGAGCCATGATGAGCCAGGAGCTGCCGACCATAGCAGTTTTGGTGTACTGTTTATTGATGAGCCAGTTGTGAGCCATGATGAGCCAGGAGCTGCCGACCATAGCAGTGTTGATTGGGATGTTTTGTATGATCCAACCCAGTCCAATTCAGGACTTAGTCCTGGTTACTTTATACTTTTAATATTAGTTTTTCAAAGTGTTTCAAAGCTAGGGCCGCATGTATATTTAATGATGGAGCGAGAAATAGTTGAACCACGTATACGATGCCGTTGAAATACTTAATTGTGCACCGGTTCAAACCGATAAACCGGTTCAAATAGAAAAGAAGGGGTTCAACTACGTTTACCCGGTTCAACTATTTTTAGCAATTCATCAAATCTGGTTCCAGATTAGATTTTTTTCTGACTAAAATACTTCTCAGTTTCAAATCAAAACATTTCTTGGTTTTAAGGTTTTTCATATGATTAAATTTTACAGAAAATAGAATTTGCAAAATATTCTAGTCTTAGGCTTTAGGGAGTTTTTCAAATCAAAATGTTCTTTTAGATCAACGGAATAGCTCATTTATTTTACATAAATCGTTTTATATGAAGTTTTCTGGGTACAAGATTTTTTTAAAATAAACTTTTCCAGAATATACCAGTTTCCAGAATATACAAGTTTCCAGAATATACAAGTTTCCAGAATATACAAGTTTCCAGAATATACAAGTTTCCAGAATATACAAGTTTCCAGAATATGGAAGTTTCCAGAATATAGAAGTTTCCAGAATATACCAGTTTCCAGAATATGGAAGTTTCCAGAATATAGAAGTTTTCAGAATATAGAAGTTTCCACTAACCCCAACCTTTATATATATATTCTGGATATCTCTGCACTACAGTGTATCCCCCAACCTTGCATATATTCTGGATATCTCTTCACTACCCCCCAACCTTGCATATATTCTGGATATCTCTGCACTACCCCCCAACCTTGTATATATTCTGGATATCTCTGCACTACCCCCCAACCTTGTATATATTCTGGATATCTCTTCACTACCCCCCAACCTTGCATATATTCTGGATATCTCTGCACTACCCACCTTGTATATATTCTGGATATCTCTGCACTACCCCCCAACCTATATATATATTCTGGATATCTCTGCACTACCCTCCAACCTTAAAATTAGATTAAATTTCTCTTTCCTCTCCCCGGAAAGCCTGCAGAGAATATGAATTTATGAAAAATATGAAATAGTGTTGATTAGCCTGATGTTCAGCTCTAGGAAGATACAAAACAGTTTTGAAAAGGTAATTTTGCAGATAGTTCAGAAAATATTTGAAAATCTTCTTTATAGGGAATTTTTATATAAGTGTTAGAAGTAGGAAAAATTTAGATTATTAAAAGTTAGATTTAGAATAAGAGGCTGAACTAACATTAGAAATAGTCCGGATTTTTAATGATAATAATAATATTTTAAATTCTGATGACTAACAATTTAACTATAAGAAAAATATTAAAAGGGTTAAAGTGATTCTTAAGGACTTAATGAAGGGTCCAAGTTAAAATTTGAACGGTCATGACAAATATCTATATATGGTATAAACTAATATAAAACTGGTTAAGACTAATATTTAAATGATTTAGACTAAAATTGAATGGTAATGACAAATATTTAAATGGTAAATGACTAATATCTAAATAGTTTAGACTAAAATTGAATGGTAATGACTAATGTATAAATGGTTTAGATTAAAATGGAATGGTCATGACAAATATCTATATATGGTATAAACTAATATAAAACTGGTTTAGACTAATATTTGAATGGTAAAGACTAAAATTTAATGGTTTAGACTAATATTTTAATGGTTTAGACTAATATTTAAATGGTTTAGACTAATATTTAAATGGTTTAGACTAATATTTAAATGGTTTAGACTAATATTTAAATGGTTTAGATTAATAGTTAAATGGTTTAGACTAATATTTGAATGGTTTAGACTAATATTTAAATGGTTTAGACTAATATTTAAATGGTTTAGACTAATATTTAAACGGTTTAAATGTCGACCCTCACAAGATGAGATTTCAATTATTGATCCGAAAAATGTAACCTATCTGTAAGTAAACGCTGCGGATAAGAGATACAAACTATCGCAGACATTTACAGATAATTAAGAATTAAAGAAACAAAATGGAGAACACATTAATAACTTCTCTTGTCCTTTGTGAGTAACCATGTTTTAAATCTAACGATTAGTCAGATGTTGTGGATAAAGAAAAGGAAATGAGTCTTTGTCACAAACTCAAATTTTCCTTATATCTTAGCAACTTGATGGTGCAAACCTTTGATTTTTCAAACTTAGATTATTTGATCTACCAGAATTCGCAGTTTGAAATTTCTAAGGTCTACGGCATTGGGTTGCAAAGATATTGGGATTAGCAAATCAGAGTTTGTGGCAAAGACTCAAATCCTTTGAGATTAAGGTAAAAATATAAAATATAAAAGAAAGAAAAACATGTTGTAACCATGAATTAGTTATCAGCTGTATATCTCGGATCTATTCTATACTTAGTTTAACATTTGAGGAAAATCTTTTTTGATCAAAATATTCTAGAATTCAAGATGAGTTAGAAGGTAGAAGTTTATTGTCCCCCAAAACAGCCCACCTCCTTAAAACTTTACGTCGAAGGGTACCAACTTATTTTCATAATATTAACAAAAAGCTTTAAAAAAGAAAATTTTCGATAAACACAATAAGTAAATTTTTAAAATTTTCTGGTTTAATATTTATTTTAATGTTTGTTTTTATTAGCTCATAAATTGATAATGCTGAACTCTTCTCTTTCTTATGTTTAGTAGGATTTACAATGTATTATTGATATTCAATATTCTACACTTTATTCTCTATATACACTATACGTGTATTAAATGCCCTACTCCATAAGGGTTCCTCAAACCCGTATCTATCCAGGTACAACCTGTTCGCTATCAATGTCAACACGGACACAAGCTTAGCTATTAATGTCAAAAAGTGCACAAGCTCTTATGCGATCAATGCCAAACCAATTGGTGTCAACAGGGACACAAGCTTTCAACTTTCAATGCCAATAAGCCGTAAGCCATCAATATCAAACGGAAGCTTGTAACTATCAATGCCAAACCAATGGGCACAATCTCAGCTCGTATGTTTCAACCTGTTTGTTTAAAACAGGGAACGATTATTCTCTGGCAGTAAACAGTACGGAGTCTCTATATCAACTAGAACTATATTTGGATTAAGTATTAACAAACATATGTACAAGTTATGCGTCGTTATATATAACGTAGTTAAGCTAATCACAATATGGATTTGACAGAGTTTTATATATATAGGATGGGTTAATCACAATACATGATTTGCGTATTCACTAATGAGTCTACACTCTACACTCTACACTCTACACTCTACACTCTACACTCTACACTCTACCCTCTACACTCTACACTCTACACTCTACACTCTACACTCTACACTCTACACTCTACACTCTGCACTCTACACTCTATTATTAATGTTATTATTATGTTAAATATTATATGTTGTATAGGATTAGTATGGATTAAAAATGGTTCTACTCCGTGTCTACCACGTGAAGAAAGTTTGGTTAACAGTCCCTTTATTCCTGATGATTATATACCTGGAGGGAGAAACAAGAAACCAGCAGATAATTCCGTCTATCAATCAATCAAAGGTAGTTTAAAGGGACAGTAAGCGAAATTTTAAGTGACCCTCAATGCAAAGATAACAATGCCCGATTCACAACGGTACCCTTTATCTGATCAATAATATTGTCGTTTTTTCTAGCTTTAAATGTGTTAAGCCTTGATTCCTGTATGTTTTCCTGGAGGAAACTGTACATGTCAGTTTTGTAAAGAAACCACAGTGTAAAATAATAAGTTATCAAAATCATAAACATGAAATATAATTCATACATGATCAGATAGAGCTTTTAAGGATACCGTTGTGAATCGGGCATTGTTAGTTTTGTATGAAGATCACACGCTTACAGTTCCTTTACGAGAATCCTCCATCAGAAAATATCATATTTACAGTTCTGATCTAGCTTAAAGTATATTAATGCAATAATATAAAATGTCAAATTATTTATCGAATTGTGTTATATTCTATCCCACAAAAGAAACTATAAAACTGTGGAATAGGAAGACGACTGTTGGACTCAAGTTATGATTTTAAATAATTCTATGAACATGAAACATAGTAATTGTGCCGTGTAAACTGAATAAGTTTTTTTCAAGCTCCATAACAAATTAATATCACTAAATCTATATAAAAAAGCTATTTGCTCATAAATATATGTGTTAGGTATATCTGGTCAAACGGCTGAACCAAATTGGCTGAAATCATTTTAGGGAACCCATGGGTACCTGGGGGGCAACATATGCTAAAAATAGAATTTTTATTTTTAAATTAAAAAATATTTTTAAAATTCCACGGGCAACACCGGGCACTTCAGCTATTATTTTAAAACTGTGTTCTTCCTATTCCGTAGATTTCTGGGTCTCCCTGTATAATGTTTTAATACTCTCTATTCCCGTAAAACATTTTTCTGCATAAATAGAAATAAGAGCAGTTTAACAAATATTCTCTGTCGGCCCCCGGAGATACCCAGAGTCCTTTTTTACCGCTGAAAGAATCATAATCATGTTCTTTGTGTAACGAGTCTGGTGGGAAAACCAGGGAAAATGTTGCCTTTTCATCAGCTTTTTAAAATATATATTTTTCTTTCTACTTTTTATCAAAAATAAACTAGAGGATGGATCAAAGGAAACAGAATGGTTTGTCCTTTTCTTATTTTCTTATTTCCTGTTTCATGTTAAAAATAATTATTTTATGAATTAGCACTAAACTGTTCTCAATAAAGACATAAAATGTACAAAAACGTTATATTTATACTAAACATATTAAGAAAAAAAATACTACTAATTTTACTGTTTGATTTACTTATGTTTCAACGAGAGATTATCTTTCAGAGACTTCTCCGCCTTCCATGTGGAATATATTCTCTAATGTCTCTTCTGCATGAGATCTTCGTCTGTACTGACGTGTCTTGTCTTGGCTCCTTGGGTTTAAACTCCCGTTAGTTCTATCCCTTCACGTTGAGGAAAACAGATAGTCTGGATCAAAGACTTTGTTAATTAGCAAAGTCTCTGGCCTGGATGCCTAGTTGCTGATCTAGGCCGATTCTAAGCTCTCTCCGCGTGTATTCGGCTTGGGTTTTCTATAAATACGTTGCATAGGGTAAAACTGCCATGGGCATGTCGACTGCCTTACTTGTAACACGAACTATGGCTATGTACAATGAGCTGCTATGCTTACAAAAATTGTAAAAAATAATTTCTTTCCTTTATATTTTTTTATTTTGGAATACATATTTTTATAGTTTCACCTGTAAATTGTTAAACTCGCCCCTTTACATTTTTTAAATCAAACCTTTAGATATTGAAAATAAATTTTCTTAAATATAATAAATTCTTTGTTTAGAATTTAACCTTCTCTGCAGCTGATATGGTGATAGAGGAATCAGAACGTCGTCTTCCGTCCTGTATAATTATAGGTAGAAACGTATATATATAGTGGTACCTGGGTTACCCATAAAGGATGAGACTGTAAAGACGATCTCAAAGTTAAATTCAGTCTTCAGCCTTGAATAACGTCTTTTTATGGCTTATTCAGTGAATTGAAAAAGAAAGAAACAAGTTTACGGTTACAGGGAATAATGAATCTAAGAAAAATATGTTGCAATTTTCTCAATTTGTATGGCCGCTAAGTTATTTGGTATTAGACGCCTTTAACAATTTTCTCCTTATAGACGCAACAGATAGAAGTAAAATTTGTAGCGATCAAAAGCGCTTTTTTATCGCATTAAGCCTTTACCCCTTTCATTTTTCGCGAACACTCCCTTTAATTAGACATGCCAATATAGAAATAAAAGATCATTTGAAAAGACGTCTACAGTCCCTTAAAATACAAAAAGGAAATGAGTTTTGTTTTGAACAGTTTGCACCTAACAAACTGTTCAAGGGAATGAAAAGATAAATTAAAATGTTGACATGTTGAAAAACAACATGCAAACTGCAGATATAAATTTATGAACTTGGATAAATTAACAGAAAAACATTAAAAGCAATCTCTCAAACTTTTCATGTTTATTTTATTCTAAAATATCTCTTTCATGTTTGCTAATTCAATTTATAAATTCACTAACTTGAGAGAAAAAATGTCAAATGTCAAATCTACATTTAGAAAATTGAACAAGTATTTTATTCATTGAAATATCAGCACTAAAAGTATATTTATTGTTTACATTTAACTTGACGTGCTAGAATACTGAGGGAGGTCGTCCTTAATATCAGAGTTCAGGGGTGGTGCTGGGTCAGTCAGGTTGACCACCTAAAGACAGCTTTGTCTCATCAACTGAATCATCAGAAATTTTCAATTTCTGCTCTGCAAAGGTTATTTGCTGTGCAAGCTTATTTTTGTTCCTTTTATAGAAGCAACACTTAGAACCTTTTCAGCGAGTCTGCCTGTTAAACCTACGGATCATGGAACACAAATTTAGTTGGAACTACTTACCTCACTCCACACACACATACTTACTACTTACCACATTCCACACACATAAACTTCCTTCTTACCACATTCCACGCACACATACTCACTACTTACCACATTCCACACACACTTACTTCCTATTTACCACATTCCACACACACATACTTCCTATTTACCACATTCCACACACACACACACACAGTTAAATTTAGATGGAACTACTTACCACACTCCACACACACATACTTTTTCTTCGGAAATTCAACTCTGTGCAATTTTTTTGCTATGGCGATTTGCCAAGTTTGGGAAGGATCAGTTTGCACATGGTTGGAACCATGTGCAAACCCACTGATTTGGCAGGTTGGAGTCTTATCCCTTGAAGAAAGCCCTGAACATTATGAAAAAACTTTCAAAATTATTTGTAAAAAATCTAGGAAAGGAGTGCAGGCATAAGTGTGTACATAGACCTAAAATTTATTTCATTTAAAACTAATATAAATAATAATTTTCCTAAACCTTATATTTTTCAAAACTAAGTTTATCAAAAAGATGATTCAGAAATTGTTGGTTAAGTGGAAGAAAATAGTATAGACAGAATAGATAGGATAGAAAGGATAGATAGGATAGATAGGATAGATAGGATAGATAGGATAGATAGGATAGATAGGATAGATAGGATAGATAGGATAGATAGGATATATAGTATAGTATAGATAGGATAGATATAATAGATATGAATAGATAGGATAGATAGAATAGCTAGGATAAATAGGATAGATAGGATAGATAGGATAGAAAGGATAGATAGGATAGATAGGATAGATAGGATAGATAGGATAGATAGATAGGATAGATAGGATAGATAGGATAGATAGGATAGATAGAATAGATAGAATAGATAGGATAGATAGGATAGATAGGATAGAAAAGTAGATTTTGAAGATTGATGTGTTTCACTGCATCAGCAAAACATTGCCGAAAAATGTATAAAAAGATAATGCAGGGAGGAAAGAGGAATATGCATAAAAGAAATGTATGAAGGAAGGAGAAAAATGTATAAAAAGATAATTCTGAGAAAGATATAGAAAACAAAAGCAGGCGTAGAAAGAATATTAATCTGTAGAAAACAAAAGGAAGTGTAGAAAGGATAAAAACCTGTAGAAAACAAAAGGACGTGTAGAAAGAATAAAAACCTGTAGAAAACAAAAAGACGCTTAGAAGGAATAAAACCTGTAGGAAACAAAAAGACGCTTAGAAGGAATAAAAACCCGTAGAAAACAAAAGGACGCGTAGAAAGAATAAAAACCTGTAGAAAACAAAAAGACGCTTAGAAGGAATAAAAACCCGTAGAAAACAAAAAGACGCTTAGAAGGAATAAAAACCCGTAGAAAACAAAAGGACGCGTAGAAAGAATAAAAACCCGTAGAAAACAAAAGGACGTGTAGAAAGAATAAAAACCTGTAGAAAACAAAAAGACGCTTAGAAGGAATAAAACCTGTAGAAAACAAAAAAGACGCTTAGAAGGAATAAAAACCTGTGGAAAACAAAAGGACGCGTAGAAAGAATAAAAACCTGTAGAAAACAAAAGGATGTGTAGAAAGAATAAAAACCTGTAGAAAACAAAAGCACGCGTAGAAATAATAAAAACCCGTAGAAAACAAAAAGAACCAGTAGAAAGAATAAAAACCTGTAGAAAACCAAAAGAACCAGTAGAAAGAATAAAAACCTGTAGAAAACAAAAGGACGCGTAGAAAGAATATTAGCCTGTAGAAAACAAAAGGATTCGTTGAAAGAATAAACAACCTTTAGAAAGCATAACTATGTTGTAAAAAGGTGTATACAAAGATAAAAGCAGTAGAAAACCGCAGAATGATGCTAGAAGCTGTATAAACTCGTAGAATCGCAATCTAGAAATTGTAGAAAGATTTAGGATGCTATAGAAAGACGTGGAAAATATAAATGTAAGTGTAGAAAGTTCTGCAAAGATAAAGAAAACTAAAAGAAAATGAATGAACTCTATATGAATGCAGAAAGAAAAGGACAATGTTGAAACTAAATAAAAGTTTTCAATGCTACAATTTTAAATGTGCAATGTTTGAGTTAGATTAATGAACCGCAATTAGACCAGGAACCTCCCCTGTTAGTGTTACTACGTTTCATTCCAACTAATTCTTGTAATTCTCCAATCTCCAATCTACAATCCTACTGCAGTCTATTCAACAGTATTCAACATTGTTAAAGTATAAACAAATATCACACAGATCCCGAAATTTAAAAGAGTATTGTTAAACAAAACTCCCGAGTTTCCTTTTTGGGGTGTTAACATTTGTGTAGATTTTGGTTTAAGAGATTCGAAAAAAATTGAGAATATGAAGAAACTAAACAAAATAATATTTCATAACAAAAATATTGATATCCACAAAACTGGCTAACCCCATTTTATAAAACACGGGTTTCAAAACTGGTTTTCATAATGATACCATGTCTTAAGTTTTGGGCTCAGGGTTACCAAATACCGGTTTTGAATCTAATAAAACATTTTGTGTTTAATTCTACACGACTAGATGTTTTTTTCTAAATGTAGAATATTGTGGTTTTAAAGAAATCCATTTAAAAATAAATTGTTTAATCTTGTTTTCCAGTGTTTGAAATTTTGAGATAATGAAACCCAGCTTAAAACAATTTTTGAAATTAATGACTCATATCAAAGTTGAAGTCTGGAAGTCGCAGAAAATACAAATTTTTATTCAAATTTTTGTTAAAACTGCGTTGAACGGGCGGGGAAGGCAGGCGGCCATAAGCCACAACATTTTCCCCTTCCATGCCACATATTACCATTTTTGTCTTCTAACAGCCATGAGCCACCACCTTACGGTCTTCCATGCCACAGCATTTGAGTATTTCGGTAGTTATTACGTTTTTTAATGATAAATGATAAGCGCGAAAGATCAGAAGAAATTTTAGAAGTTCATTCAATATCAATGAATTTTACGAATTTTGGGCACGGAGACAAATTTTTTGGGGTAGTCTAAAGAATAAGAAAAGACTGTCATTACCTGAGCAGTACAGATTTTGAACTGTAAAAGTATGTTATGATGCATCAAAATAAGTTTAGCCCTTTACATTACAAGGATTCTTCATTATTTCAATATAAAACTTAAATATGAAGCTCTTTATATTTATCTTTTGCATGACGTCGCTGAATTTTTAAAAATCACAATTTCAATGCACTAAATTTATTATTTAAACCTTTATAACTGTCGGAAGACTCAAATGCGTTTGTGGCTTATGGCTGCCGCAAGACAAAAAAGCTAATATGTGGCATGAAAGGGAAAATGTTTTGGCTTCTCCCGCTAGTTGAACATTTATAATTTTTGGGATTCTCGAGAAAAAAGTCAGCTGAGTTGAGTTTCCACTGCTGACTAAAATTTTGAACACCATTTTAGAGATAAACACACGGATTACTCTGTCGCCCATAAAAAAGAAAAATATTTAAAGGTTTCCGTTATGAATCGGCCCTGCCCCTCTTTAAAAGGAGGGTCATTTGAAACTACAAGATCAGATCTGTGGTCGTTTACGGATAGACATATAGATTAGATAGACATATGAAAATACATTAAATTAAATAGATATAGAGTATATATATGTGTACTTGGTACAAACGGAATGAGGAAGATGTAGATTTGAAAAACATTTCTCAAACTAAATGGCGATAGCATAAAGTTTATATGAATTATATATGAAGGGTTACCCCGAAAGAATGAGACTGTAAAGACGACCAAAAACTCTGACAATAAGACGATTTGAAGCTTGATTTTTGGTTTCTGCATTCAAATGAGTAATTTGATGGTTTATTAGATGATTGAGCACAAAAATAAGGTGGTTTTAGGCTATAAGGAACCCTGAATGCAAAAAAACAGATTAAACAAATTCCGTACAATCCTCCCTGAAGTCTCATCCTTTGTGGGTAACCCTGTATGTAGTCTGTAAAAGAAAGCACGTACAGGGTGTCCCACATCATATTAGATCGTCAATCGGTCTAAATTTCGATTTTTGGAACTAATCAGAAAATGAATCATTTAAAAAATTGAATATGAGTATTTTGGGTTTATGTTGGCGTTAAAACTTGGAGATAATCTAATAAGATATGGGACGCTCTGTAGAATCCTGTTTTCTCTCTGCTTTCTACAGATTCAGTGATCTCTACGGTAGATTATTCATTAAACTGCTGCACATATAGCTGTATGGTCAGAGCCCGAAATTAGAAAATCGTTGAACAAAACTCTGGAATTTCATTTTTGGGGTCTAAACATTTGTGCAGATTATTAATTAATAAATTAGAAAATAGGAATTAATATTTCCGAAAAAAATATTGGTATCTACAAAACTGCCTGACCCCATTCTCATAACCGGGGTTTTATACTGGGTTTCATGACGATACCCTGTTTTAAGTTTTCGGCTCTTTGTAATATTGTAGTATATAAACCTGCTCTATAAAAAGATGAATTAATTACAAGACTTCATATACAGGGTGTCCCACATCAAATTAGACCGCGTGAATGGGTCTAAATTACGATTTGGGGGACAAATCAGAAAATTTAAGAGGAATGAATCATTTTGAAAAATTTAATAAGGCTAATAGAAATTTTTTTTTTGCAGAAAATGCTATGATTTCTCGAGTATTATGTGCGTATTTAGGCGTTAAAGATTGGAGATAATCTAATATGATATGGGACGCTCTGTCTGTCAGCTCTGCTCAAACTGACACATCAATTGTCTTATTTGTATATTCTTTCAGATATTTAGAGAGGGGGGCAAAACGTAAAAAACAACTTTATTCTTAATTCAGAAAATTATATTCTAATATGTCATTGTCACATTTCTTCTGACACCTACCAGCCCAAACAACATTAAAGTCAAAATTAGAATAAAGAAGGATGTAATGTGAAGAAGCCGGAAATAGGAAATAAGGATGGAAGGATAAAGGATGAAAAGAAGAGAAAGAAGAACGAAGAACGAAAGAAGGAAAAACAAAAGGAAAAAAATAAATCAAGATGGAAGGGATAGATTGAAGTTTAAATAGACAAATGAATAAAAGTTAAACTTTTCCTTACCAAGAACCCTGAGAAGAGTTTGTTTTTACTAAAAATCTTTTTCTTTCTTTTTTATCAACTTTTTAGATTAAATTTTCTGCTGATTTTAGCAATAAAAGTTTACACGGTCTGATACAGGGGTTCTCATACTAAGTGGGGGGGGGGGAGGAATTTCATCGATATCCAATCGTCCCGATTTATAGATCTATCAGTAATGGCTCGATTTTAACGTTTACGTAGTCCGTCCGTGTGCATCGATGATTAGATATTAGCTAATCGTAAGCAACGTATAAACTCAATATCCACATTAGCGGATACTACTTTATATATGAATAACTGTTGAGTTGCATGTCTGGAATCTCTCTCATTAGGAGAGAGCAGATTTTTTATGGATTCCTAAAAATCTTAAAAGAATCCAAAGGGAATTGAATAAATCCAAACTACAAAAAATAAGAATTATGAAAATAACAATCACCCTGCAACCAACCAGTAACCATGGGGCTAAGCGTTTGGTTTCTTCAATTTGAATTGCGTTATTTAGCCATATTAAAGTTTTAATTTTAAGAAATGGTTGCATCGGTTAACCCAAGTTTTAGTTTACAATGTACAATGTTTCATATATAGTCAAAAATGTATTTCATTGATAAAGATTATTTTTATGTGTTTTTCTTTACAAAAGTTAAAGAAGATTTTGGTAAACTGTCAAACTTAAATAAAAAATAAAAATAAAAATAATAAAAATAGAAAATAATAATTCTAAAATATTTCAGGTGTTCGTAAAGGGGGAACAAGAGCGCTTCTAGGTAATGGAAAAGTATTTTTTTCAGTAGAACAGAAAAAGTGAGGTGGGGTATGATTGATCTAGCAAGCACTGAAAGAGGGGGTCTGATAGATCCTACAAGCAGTACCGGGGTTGGGGGGGGGAGGATAAAAGGTTATATTGACCTTGAAGTGTATTCTGAACTTTTACATTTTAAACTTTGCTTATATTTCAGTCTTCCTAATCCCAGCAGTACAATAGAAAATTCCCAAGAGTGAAAATCCTTCAAAACGAAATACTTCATGTCTTTCTAGAGAATCATTTTAATTTAGAAACATATCAACTTTTCCATATTTTTATTCTTCTTTTTAAAAAATGGAACTTAATAAACGTAACTTTTGTCAATGTTAAGTCACCTTTAATTCTTGCTCTTACAGTTGATTTTAACTTTTACTTAACTTTTAACCCCCTGAATACCGTGGTTTGGAACTATTATCCCCTGAATACCGTGGTTTTGATCTTTTATCCCATGAATACCGTGGTTTGGAATTATTATCCCCTGAATACCGTGGTTTGGAATTATTATCCCCTGAATACCGTGGTTTGGAACTATTATCCCCTGAATACCGTGGTTTGGAACTATTTTCCCCTGAATACCGTGGTTTGGAACTATTATCCCCTGAATACCGTGGTTTGGAACTATTATCCCCTCAATGCCGTGGTTTGGGACTATTATCCTCTAAATACCGTGGTTTGGAGCTATTATCCCCCTGAATACCGTGGTTTGGAACTATTATCCCCTGAAAACCGTGGTTTGGAACTATTAACCCCTGAATACCGTGGTTTGGAACTATTATCCCCTCAATGCCGTGGTTTGGGACTATTATCCCCTGAATATCGTAGTTTGGAACTATTATCCCCTGAATACCGTGGTTGGGAACTATTATCCTCTGAATGCTGTGGTTTGGAACTATTATCCCCTCAATGCCGTGGTTTGAAACTATTATCTCCTCGATGCCGTGGTTTGGAACTATTATCCCCTGAATGCCGTGGTTTGGAACTATTATCCCCTGAATACCGTGGTTTGGAACTATTATCCCCTCAATGCCGTGGTTTGGAACTATTATCCCCTGAACCGTGGTTTGGAACTATTATCCCCTGAATACCGTGGTTGGGAACTATTATCCTCTGAATGCCGTGGTTTGGAACTATTACCCCCTCAATGCCGTTGTTTGGAACTATTATCTCCTCAATGCCGTGGTTTGGAACTAGGAATGGCGGTGAAGATTGAGAGGAATGAAAGGAGGGTGGAGGTAGGGGGCAGAGGAATGAAGTTGGAGATAGAGAGGGATGAAAGGGGAATGGGGGGGAGGGGTAGAAGATTGGTGGTTAATTGTGAGAGTGCGGGGGGGGGGAGAAGGTAATATAAGGAGGCTAATTCTCTGTGACTAGCTCTACTAGTTCTAATATAATTTATAACAATTACATCTCACCATTAAACATTTAACAATGAGAACCTCACTTTATATAGAACACAGAGAGTTTATATATTTAGGAGGGAAGGAGGAGGGAAGGAGGAGGGAAGACGGATTGAAAAAGTAATGAAAGAGGAAGAAAAAAAGAAGAGAAGGAGATTCCTTTTTTCAATGTTGTCGTAAAAGAATCAAAATGATTATTTCTGAATCTGTTTTCTGAATTATTTTTCTACACATAACTCTTGATTGAAGTAATTTTCAATTTAATTTCTTATTATCAAATTCTAAGATCTTCGTTTGAAGGATTTTGGGAACTAAACTTCTTAGCAATCTAGGTGCAGAGCAAAAATAAACCTTCTTCAAAATTCCATTGTTATATTCTCAATGTTTAAAAATAATTTTCTTTTGTAAATCTGGCTCCGTAACTACAGGAGGGGGATAATGTATAGTTTTGAATTTTGCAGATTTAACAGAAGGGACTGTTCATAACAAACTTTCAGTGTAGAGTCGAACCCTTTATATCGATACCGTCAAACTTTGAGGGTATTGAGTACGGATTAGTTTTCTTTTGGGTTAAATGTTAGATATTGCCGACCTAATAATCCCTTTTCCGATTGAAAAGTTATAATTTTCTTATCCCCATATCTTTGCAGCCTGATGGTGTAAATCTTTGATTGCGACATAGGGTTTCAAAGATAATGGAATTAGAAATTTAGAGTTTGTGGCTCAATTCCTTTAGCAAATGCACTTACGAATTATGCTGAATACAATGTTGGGGATGCTTTCTAAGAAATCAAGAGAACTATATAAAAAGTGTTTTTGATGATTTTCCATTATGGAGTATAAACACTTATAATATTGTGTACATAGCATTTTTTTTAGAAATGCTGTCTTTGCATCCTCAGATCCGTGTAGCACAACAAGAAGTTCATTTCTTCGATAATGAAACTAATTACGGGTAAATATTATTTTTAGAACTAGGCTTCAACATCGCTTCCCCCCACCCCTTTACTGGTGACAATTCAGTATTTAGAAGATGCTTTTTAAGTCACCATTACTATATCGTTCTCCCATAAAATTTTTTTTTAAATGTACGGGTTTTTCTGTTAAAATTGGTCGGTTTTCAAAAATATTAAATATGGATATTTTTGCAGTGCAAAATTTTACCAATGTCGACCATTAATAACCCTTCCCTCAGGTCATGTGAGTTGCCACAGAAAAATTGGGCCCGATCAGTTTAGCCTTTTATCGTTCAAATTGGATAGAAATAAAATAATAACTGTAAAGTAAAATGTACGGTTGTCCGCCAAAAGCTACAAAATGGAAAAACCGATTCTATATAGAACGATGGCCCTGCAGGTTTTTGTCTTTATCCCCTGTCACCTCCGTAATTCTAAAGTACTGCTAAAATATCAACTTTTGAAAGCAATCATGTTAGCAGAGATACAGAACTTATTAGAATATCTTATATAGAAACTAGGCGAAACGCCCTGCATTGTCCGTGGAATTTAGAGAAAAAATATTTTTTAGCCAATTTCTTTACCTATTAGCCTATTTCTCCACCTATTAGCCTATTTCTCCACCTATTAGCCTATTTCTCAACCTATTAGCCTATTTCTCCGCCTATTAGTCAATTTATCAACCTATTAGCCTATTTCTCCACCTATTAGCCTATTTCTTTAAAACATGTCAGCCGATTTGGTCCAGCCGTTTGGCCAGCTATAGATCGAACGTTATATCCAAAGGAGTTTAGCTAAACTGGAATTTATTCATCCAGGAAATGTATTTTTCCATTACATAAATGCAACAGTAAATGCAAGAATTCCGTCAAATTCCAATGAAACCTTGATATCTAAATATTTAGAAATTATAATGTTTATCTAAATATATCCCTGGTATCCCTGGTTTCCCTGGTATCCCTGGTATCCCTGGTATCCCTGGTATCCCTGGTATCCCTGGTATCCTTGGTATCCCTGTTATCCCTGGTATCACTGGTATCCTGGTGTCCATGGTATTCCTGGTATTCTTGGTTTCCCTGGTATCCCTGGTATCCCTGGTATCCCTGGTATCACTGGTATTCTGGTGTCCATGGTATCCCGGATATCCTGGTATCCCTGGTATCCCTGGTATCCTTGGTATTCCTGGTATTTTTGGTTTCCATGGTATCCCGGTGTCACTGGTATCCAAGATATCCTGGTATCCCTGGTATCTCTTCCTAATCTATTAATGTTTAGACAAGGATATCCCTGGTACCTGAACCAGTTCCCCGCTCTGGGTCCAGATCAGATCTGTGTGGAGAAGAGTCCGAGCTACTTCGTAACTCTCAAGGTTCCAGAGAGGATCAAGGAGATGAACCCTCGGATGAAACTGATTCTTATAGGAATAAATATATGCTCTTATCTATATAATCTTATTAGATCAGCTTAGTCTCTGAGATTATAGAAACAGGTTAAAATGCCAGAAAAGGATTAAGGTTTAAATCCTGGAAAACATGTTAAGTCTCCAACAATCTCTTTTTTCTCAGAATTCAATCCTAATCTTAAACTTTACACAACATAGAAAACGAATTGTTCTTAAAATTTTAAAAATAGAAGTTTCATCGTGTTAACATTTCAATTCTATCTTGACACGTAAGAACATCTCCGATTTCTATTCTCTAACTCCAACCTTACACAAATCTTTTCTCAACTGGTCAATCCCATACCTGGAGACTTAACATCTCCGATAACCAATAAGGCTGAAGACCCTTTACACTTCAAATATTGGTTCAAGTCTAGTTACTCTTCTCTTGTACTTAAATACACGTAAATAATGGTACTATATTTGATATTGGAAATCAGATATAGTAATTTAGAGTCGAGGGTCCGGATTTTATTTTAGATTTATGAAACTCAGTGTTCTCTTTAGTTATTTCATTTTCTTGCATCAGCTTATATCAGAATAAACTTGATACAGAAGGGACTGCTTTATATCAGAATAAACTTGATACAGAAGGGACTGCTTTATATCAGAATAAACTTGATAAAGAAGGGACTGCTTTTTATCAGAATAAACTTGATACAGGAGGGACTGCTTTTTATCTTGAAAATATATAAATTTGAAGAGTCAGAAAAAGCTTTCTTCTTAGAAAGGCAACCATTTAAATCCCCAGGGATTGTAGGAACTTACAGGGATTCAACAATCTAAAGGGCTTCAACAATCTAAAGGGATTCAAGCAATCTAAAGGGTATTAACAATCTAAAGAAATTTCAGCAACGCAGAAAGGATTCCAGCAATTTTGAGGGTTTCCAAAAACCTATAGGTGTTCCTTCAACTTAGAGGAATCTAAGCAACCTATATGGATTCCAGCAACCTATAGGGATTCAAGCAACCTATAGGGATTCCTGCAACCTATAGGGATTCCTGCAACCTATAGGGATTCCAGCAACCTATAGAGATTCCTGCAACCTATAGGGATTCCAGCAACCTATAGGGATTCCAGCAACCTATAGGGATTCAAGCAACCTAGAGGGATTCTAGCAACCTAGAGAAACTTTAGCAACCTAGAGGGATTCCAGCAACCTAAAGGGATTCCAGCAACCTAGAGAGGTTCCAGCAACCTACAGGGATTCGTTAAACCTAGAGAGATTCCAGCAACCTAGAGAGGTTCCAGCAACCTACAGGGATTCGTTAAACCTAGAGGGATTCCTTAAGCCTAGAGGGATTCTAGCAACTTAGGGAAATTATTCCGTCAACCTAGAGGGATTCCAGAAACCTAGAGGTAGTCAAATAAATGTAGAAGCAACATAAGGGATTTTTACAACAAAGGGATTCCAAGAAATAGAATAAACACTGGATGAGAGAATGTTTCTTGAAACCCAGCAAGATTACTTGTAGGAATCTATGAAATTCTAGGAATCAAGAAAGATTTACTTACATGAAGAAAGGGGTCTAGGATTCTATTTTAGCTCTTGAACTATTCAGATTCTCAGAAAAACTGTTAGATTCCCAAAAACTTAAAAGATTATGGGAGGAAGAGCCTACAAGGTTGTTCAGGTTCAGTTTTGTTTAAAAAGAAGGGAAAAGAAATAAACTTAAGATTCTACTCTCGGGATTTTCAGAATTTTTATATTTCGTTTCACGTATTTGTAGGATAAGCCAAGAAATAAAATAGAAAATTTACATAAAAAGAATATAAAAGTAAAATGATCCTGAACCAAGCTTCATAGCAATTCCAGCACACCTAACCACAAGATGGCTAANGGGACCGAAACATTATTAAGAAAATAAGCATTGATCCTCAGAAGTGCCCACATTGGATTTCAAGATCAAGCGTTCAAGATTAATGATACTCGGCTTTGTGTTGTAAATCTCGGGAATAAAGGATTGAATTGCAGACCTATAAATATATATTTAATTTCTTTCAGATATCCCGTAATGGTCATACTGAGCGGAGACAATTTTGATATAAAAATTAAATTCCCATATAGGATATCCAGATAATATCCAAACAAAAGTTCTGATCTCTGTACAGATAATATGAGTTTCTTTATATGTATCTATGTATCTGGGACTTTAGATTAAACTAATAAAAGAAGAGAATAAATATAAATATATTAGTCCGAGATCCTGTTACAAGACTTATATCAGACTTCACACAGATAACACACAATAGAATAGATAAGGTAGGAGTGGAAACTAGAAACCAAAATATTATTTTCAAATATATTTTGTTCATCATAGAAATAATCTGCTCAAGTTATTAAGTGCAGAAGGTTTGAAATCATATGGGCCGGGTTTTAAATTCTAAAAATGATATTATGCATAAAGAAACTCGTCGTAAACTTAAATTTTTCCTTCCCAATATTATTGCAACCAGATGGTGAAAATCTTTGATATTTCAAACGTTAACTATTTAGTCGAAGACATCATTTTGAAAAGAAACATTAAAATATAAGGAGAGTAATCAATTCATTTTCAAATTATCCCAAACCCAAATTTAGATACCAAATAAACCTATTTTGATAGAAATTAAAATTTAATGAACTATCTTAAAGAGAATAATTTGCCATCTATTATTCTTCAGGGGTTGCAGATTAGAGATTTTGACTCCACGATGGTTCGAGAGGACGGATCTTTAGCTCTGGATACCTACGGAGTAGATACAGGAGTTTACTCAACCCATCTTCTAAACTGGTTCAAACACTTTCCTAGAGAACAGGTAAACCTGAATTTTAAATAATCAACGGAAATCAGCTGATATCGAGATCAATACTTGATCTCCTCTTTTCTTAATCTCCAGATTAAATTATGCTTCTCCTCTTGTTATTAATCTCCACATCAATTAACCGATCGGCATTCAAGTTTTCACGTTATTTTAAAAGATAAAATGAAAACTTTCTATTCGATTCAATTAAAAACAAAAATAAAAAATATACAAATGCGGGAAAATTTACGAAGCACGGAAGAACGTCAAAGGAATTGAGTCTTTGCCACTAACTCTGATTTTCTAATCCCTATATCTACTTAACCCAATGTTGTAGACCTTATATATTTCAAACTATGATTTCTGTTATATCAAATAATCTAAGTTTGAAATATCAAAAGTTTACACAATCAGGTTGCACAGATATAGGGATTAGAAACTTTGAGTTTGTGACAAAGACTCAATTCCTTCATGATGAAATTTTTTTCTGGGAAACTTGAGTGTACACTCGGTAATAAATTTTCATCTGGAGAAGTATGGATGTATACCAGGCATGGATGATCAGGCAAACGGTATGGTAAATCTGTAAATCTGTTGTACCAATCTACAAATGGAAGCTTACTTCAAAATGCGTCAATTTCTTTCTTATTTAATGTATTTTTATATTTGGCTTAAATAGATAGCAATAAAGATAACGAAGATAACATTTCCACTTTCAATTTGCTTAAAAATTTAGCTCAGTTTTAATCCCATCCTACAAACCCTCTTTTATCTGGCTCCTTGTTGAGCTACGGATAGGATATCCTGGTTGTAATCTGATATCTAGTTCCTTGTTGAGCTAAGGTTAGTAAATCCTGGTTTTAATCTGATATCTAGTTCCTTATGAGCTACGGATAGAATATCCTGGTTGTAATCTGATATCTAGTTCCTTGTTGAGCTACGGATAGTATATCCTGGTTGTAATCTGATATCTGGTTCCTTTATCTAGTTCCTCGTTGAGCTACGGATAGGATATCCTGGTTGTAATCTGATATCTGGTTCATTGTTGAGCTACGGATATGATATCCTGTTTGTAATCTGATATCTAGTTCATTGTTGAGCTAAGGATAGGATATTCTGGTTGTTATCTGATATATAGTTCCTTGTTGAGCTACGGATAGGATATCCTGGTTGTAATCTGATATCTGGTTCATTGTTGAGCTACGGATATGATATTCTGTTTGTAATCTGATATCTAGTTCATTGTTGAGCTAAGGATAGTATATCCTGGTTGTGATCTGATATCTAGTTCCTTGTTGAGCTACGGATAGGATATCCTAGTTGTCATCTGATATCTAGTTCCTTGTTGAGCTACGGATAGGATATCCTGGTTGTAATCTGATATCTAGTTCCTTGTTGAGCTACGGATAGGATATCCTAGTTGTTATCTGATATCTAGTTCCTTGTTGAGCTACGGATAGGATATCCTGGTTGTAATCTGATATCTGGTTCATTGATGAGCTACGGATATGATATCCTGTTTGTAATCTGATATCTAGTTCATTGTTGAGCTAAGGATAGGATATTCTGGTTGTTATCTGATATCTAGTTCCTTGTTGAGCTACGGATAGGATATCCTGGTTGTTATCTGATATCTAGTTCATTGTTGAGCTACGGATAGGATATCCTGGTTGTTATCTGATATCTAGTTCCTTGTTGAGCTACGGATAGGATATCCTGGTTGTTATCTGATATACAACAACATCTATACTGTCCTTTACTTTTCCTTATAGATTTTATTGAACATTTTTAGTGATGAAAACTTTGTGATGTATGGGAAAACTGCAAACTATCATCAATATCCAGGAATGCGTGACATGGATAAAAGTTGGTAAAGTTTATCTGCTCCGGTATCCATCCAGAGTATCGGAAATATAATCAGAAGAAAAGGATAAGCTTAGCGGTAACCTCAACAATACAAGAATAATTTTTTCCCTCTGGAATTAGTTTCTTCTTTACATTGATGAGAGCAGGTTTAGTTTGCCCAGTGTCTCTGGAATCTGCAGGAGAAAATGATTAGATTCATGTGAACCTGGGGAAAAGAAGGATTAGTTCTTCTCCCAAACCCAGAGAAGAAAAGGAATAAGTTCTCCTGAAACCGGAGAAGAGAAAGAGTATTTTATCCCGCACCCGGAGAACAGAAGATTATCTTCTCCTGAAACCGGAGAAGAAAAGGGGTATCTTCTACTGAACCCGGAGAAGAGAAGGGTTAACTTCTCCTGAAACCGGAGAAGAGAAAGAGTATCTTCTCACGAACCTGGAGAAGAGAAGAATTAGTTTCTCCCAAACCCGTAGAAGAGAAATATAAGATTCTTTGGAACCTCTCCGGTTAATCTGATAGCTTAAAACCTAGAATATGGAGATGAATTTTTCCTAAAACTTGAGAAGAGTATGATTAGAATCTCCGAAAACTGAAGGAGAGAGAAATTTTTTCATCCGACAATTTTGCATAAACTTAAAGATTTAGTTGAGACCAGGTGCAGCATGTAAAACACGAATTAGAATAAAATTGAATTATGTAAATTGTGTACACAGTATTCTGCAGCATGTACTGTGCACATAAAAGATGTTTGGCGTACTTGCCTGTACTCAATGTAAATATTTACAGTTGTCTCATGGGAATTTTATTGAAACTTTATAGAGATTTATTATTGTATAGTTTCAAGAGAAAACTAATTTAGGGAAAGAAGAAAAACTATTTTCAGAAAAAAATATTACTCAACGTTGCAGTCTATTTTTTACAATCATAATTTTTGATTCATTTCGATAGTTCTGTACTTGAAATGTTATTACATGTCTCTTTAAGTTTTACTCTAGGTTTATATTGCTAATGGAGACAAGTTAATCCGAACCCCGTGGCAGGAGATGAATAAGATCGAAAACTTCCTCAATCTTCAACACTCAATCTCTAGATCTCAGTTCTTCTTTAACACTACTAAGGTATGCACATTAAGATGGTTAATTGTACAAGTAGAAAAGAAGAAAAAAAGATCTACTCTGATATCCTCGTCTTCCTTATTATATTCGTAATAATCATATGCGTCCCCCCTGTTGATCTAATCATGTCCTTTTCTTGATCAACACTGAACATTATGCGTCATATTCTTAGATCAACACTGAACATTGTGCGTCCATTTCTTAGATCAACACTGAACATTGTGCGTCCTTTTCTTGATCAACACTGTACATTGTGCGTCCTTTTCTTAGATCAACACTGAACATTGTGCGTCCTTTTCTTAGATCAATACTGAACATTGTGCTTCCTTTTCTTAGATCAACACTGAACATTGTGCGTCCTTTTCTTAGATCAACACTGAACATTGTGCGTCCTTTTCTTAGATCAACACTGAACATTGTGCGTCCTTTTCTTAGATCAATACTGAACATTGTGCGTCCTTTTCTTAGATCAATACTGAACATTGGGCGTCCTTTTCTTAGATCAACACTGAACATTGTGCGTCCTTTTCTTAGATCAACACTGAACATTATGGGTCCTTTTCTTAGATCAATACTGAACATTGTGCGTCCTTTTCTTAGATCAATACTGACCATTGTGCGTCCTTTTCTTAGATCAACACTGAACATTGTGCGTCATTTTCTTAGATCAACACTGAACATTGTGCGTCCTTTTCTTAGATCAACACTGAACATTGTGCGTCCTTTTCTTAGATCAACACTGAACATTGTGCGTCCTTTTCTTAGATCAACACTGAACATTGTGCGTCCTTTTCTTAGATGAACACTGAACATTGTGCGTCCTTTTCTTAGATCAACACTGAACATTGTGCGTCCTTTTCTTAGATCAACACTGAACATTATGCGTCCTTTTCTTAGATCAATACTGAACATTTTTATAATTAGATCAAAAAAGTACTTTTCTGACAAACAAACCCTTTAAATCCCTTCATAATAATATTTCTGGAGCATAGTACTATATAATATATATTTACCACCACAATAAGATTGGAAACCTTGTTGAAAAATAATTTAGATTTAGGAGAAATAAAACATCAAGAAAAATCATAAAACTGTCGAACAATAAAGAAACTATATTCCCGAGTACAGACGAATAAAGTTTTAAATTCTTTAGTCTTTTAACTTTGTTTCAACAATTTTATATTTGCTTAACTAGATAAATTGCAGTTTCATAATTCAAGCAATGATATAAAACTAGAAGAAATACAGTGAAATTCAGAAATATTTTAAATAGAAATTCTTAAATGTTGGGGATGAACACTAGAAACACGGCAATCGCCGCAATTTTTTAAAATAATTTTGTAAAAATGTCGCCTTCCTTTTTCAAAACTTTTTGGTTCTTACTTCATAGTTAAAAACAATTAAACTTTATTTATACTTTGAAATAAAAAGTTTGATGTTTAAAATTGTTCTTTATGGATTTAATTGAATTAAAGGCTAGAGCGGGTAGAAAAGAGGGTATATACACATTTATGACGTCAAATATTTAATTCATAGTTTTCATGAATTTAATTTTTCCCTGCAGCATTCATTCATAACACTACAGAATTAACTTAAACTGTATAATTTATCTTGTGTGGAAATTAGACAGGGTCGTACTGATACAGGGGGGGGGGGGCGAAACGGAAGATGGGCAATAGTGTCCCCCCTCCAATAAGTATGAGAACCCCTCCCCCATTATTTACCCTGTGAGCCACCCCCCGCCCTACAAAATCTTTCAGTTACAAGCTTGAATATAAACAGACTTAAAGGGACAGACCGGCTATGTAAGGTAGTTAAACTGAGCATGCAGTGTTGTGGACAAATTCTTTAGGATTCATTTGAGACATATAAAACTTTTCCACGATGTATAATTACTGAGTTGAAGTGCATAGTCGACATTCAAATGGGTACGTTTTCAGAATTGTTTTCATTATTATATTGAATTTCTTATTTTCTACGGGTTTATTCGCAGATTTCTACAAATCTTCAAATGTCGTTGTCAAATGTCAATAATAATTCCAGAAAATCTGCCGAAAATCTTTGTGAATAATGAGATAATAGAAACTACTAATTAAATAAGATTACTTATTTTCGATGATAAGATTAATTTTGATTTTCTCAACCTGTTCCTAAACATCTAATTAGTTTACTGTAGAATTTTGTTTCCATTTTTTGTCGTCATTATTTAATAATTAAAACAACTAATTCTGAAAACGTATCCACCCAAAAGTACGATTCTGAACGTCGACTTTGCGCTCAAACTCAGGATTTACAGATCTTTAAAAAGTTTTATATTCTCAAATGAATTCTAAAGAATTTGTCCACAACACTGCATACTCAGTTCAACTACCTTACATAGCCGGTCTGTCCCTTTAATCTGAATAGCACTGAGTATATTTCTATTTCTCCCAACATCCAGTACATGCACAGTAAACAGTAAACAAATACCTTTAATGGGGTTCATGGTGTTTCTATGATCGTATACGAATTGAGTCTTTGCCACAAACTCAAATTTTCTAATCCCATTATCTTTGTAACCTGATGGTGTAAACCTTTGATATAAAATTTAGACTTTTAATCGAACATAATTTATAGATTAAAATATAAAAGTCTATCTGTCTATAACTAAAAATATATTTTTTAAAATGTTAAAGTTAAACAAGTTATACGACATTGGGTTGCAAAGGTATAGGATTTGGAAAATCAATTCCTTTGTTTTTGACAAGAATTCAGGGAAACAAGTTTCACTGAAACACAATCTATCGCTTTACAAGTTTATTCTAAAGAATATTTATAATCTTTGGTTTATTTAGAAGGAAAAATATGTTAAATAATTTATTATATATAAGCTCATTGAGAGCTTTTTCTAATAGAAATTATCAATCATATGTCCTGGGTCTTCTCTCAGAATTGTTAATCATATATCCAGGGTTTCCTCGAGAAATCATTTACTTTATGATGAGGTTTTTTTTTAAATCTATTAATTTTAAATCCAGGGTTTCTTTGAATTTATTGCTACAAAATCGACAATTTTGTATCTAGGGTTTCCTCTTTAAATACAAAATTTTACAACCAGGGTTACCTTGAATTTATTAGTTATACATCCAGAGTTTTCCCTCGAAATTATCAACAATTTTTTCCCAGGATTTCCACTGCAAATTTTAAGTTAAATGTCCAGGGTTTACTCTTCAAAGTATAATTATAATGTCCAGGGTTTCCTCTTTAAATATAAATATAATGTCCAGGCTTTCCTCTTGAAATATAAATATAATGTCCAGGGTTTCCCCTTGAAATGTTAATATAATGTGTAATTATAATGTCCAGGGTTTCCACTTTAAATATAAATATAATGTCCAGGGTTTCCTCTTAAAATATAAATATAATATCCAGGGTTTCCACTGTTTGGTTGTTGATGGACAAACTAGGTGCCTGGCTAAGAGTAAAGGAAGACCACATGTAAATGTTAGTAAAGATACGATTGTAAAACTAAGAAGATTCTACAAACCTCATAATTACAGGTTACTATTTATTTAAACATAAATATACAACTGATTCATTTTTAAAGAGATAAACATGAATATCTTTTTCTTTCTTGATCAGACAAATGTTTAAGGTACTGTAGTGAATCAGACATGCCATTTACAAATGGAGAATATTACGACACAGTCCATTTAAACGATCTGATGAAGATCTATAGAAATATAATCTTATTAAATATTAATTTATTGTTGAATTATGTTTGCATTTCCATCTTTCACCTAGAGTTTCAAACTTTAATTGATCAAAGTAGAACTCTCCGGCTCTATCTCTAGTTCCTCTAGCTCTGACTTCATCTTTCTCTTTGTCTTAGGTTCAGATTTTCATGATCTAGCTATCCTTGATATTTCAGGTTCTATGGTCTTACTATTCCTGATATTTCAGGTTCTATGGTCTTACTATGCCTGATATTTCAGGTTCTATGAACTAACTATCCTTGATAGTTCAGGTTCTATGGTCTTACTATCCCTGATATTTCAGGTTCTATGAACTAACTATCCTTGATAGTTCAGGTTCTATGGTCTAACTTTCCTTGATATTTCAGGTTCTATGGTCTTACTATCCTTGATATTTCAGGTTCTATAGTCTTACTATCCCTGATATTTCAGGTTCTATGAACTAACTATCCTTGATAGTTCAGGTTCTATGGTCTAACTATCCTTGATATTTCAAATTCTATGGTCTAACTATCCTTGTTATGTCAGATTCTATAATCTAACTATCCTTGATATTTCAGGTTCTATGGTCTAACTATCCTTGTTATTTCAGGTTCTATGGTCTAACTATCCTTGATATTTCAGGTTCTATGGTCTAACTATCCTTGTTATTTCAGGTTCTACGGTCTCACTATCCTTGATATTTCAGGTTCTTGGTCTAACTATTCTTGAAATTACAGATTCTATGGTCTAACTATCCTTGCTATTTCAGGTTCTGAGGTCTAACTATCCTTGGTATTTCAGGTTCTATGATGTAACTATCCTTGTTATTTCAGGTTCTATGGTCTAATTATCCTTGATATTTCATGTTCTATGGTCTAACTATATAAACTTGATATTTCAGGTCCTAAGGTTTAACCATACCCTTAATATTTCATGTTCTATGATCTAACTATCCCTGATATTTCAGATTCTATGGTTTAGTTGGGAAAGATTTCGGATGGCCGGAAGAATAAAAACTTAAAGAACTTCAATTTTGATATAAAACTCAATCAAGTGAAAGAATGTGGTATCAAGGTATCTGGAGAGAGAGCTAAACCAGGAAACGGGATCGAATCTAATCCTTGAAAACTCTGCACTAAAATCTGTATTTTTTCTGTCCTTTGTCCGCTTTGACAAAACGCCTGTGATTACATATCATTAACTTAATACCTACATTTTTCAATTTTAAACCAGGGTTAACCTTTAGCATATATTTTTTTCAGAAACTTTTTGTTTACAAAAATATATTTTACGGGTTTACTCTGGAACATACATTTTCTATACTTTCTGTAAGGCGGATTTTGCCGTCAGAATATTTTAATGTCGTCTTTTCAGATTAAAACTTCTAAGTCTTCTCTTTCAGGTTTTCAAGTGTTTTATTAGAATATGAATATATATGCTTTCCTCTTTTTAGATTCTAAACTCTATTCATGATATTAAATTTATGCATTTTTATCCTCACTTTTGTCATTCAAACTTGAAATTGGAATTTTGCAGGGCAAAACTGGCCATTTTCTACACAAAAATATTTAGCAGGGCACACAAATATGTTCACTAATAATTCAAAATTCTAACTTAAATTAAAAAATGTTTTAGAAGTTGATACTCTAATAGAAAAACAAAGAAACTAAGGTTTTGACACAAACTCAAGTTTTCTAATCCCTTTTTCTTTAAAACCTGTTAGCTCGTAAATCTTTGGTATTTCAAACTTAAATTAAAGAATTTCAATGGAATAAAATAATTTTTTAGAATTCTTTTTGCCATAATTTGAAGGTTGTTTTGTCCTGCATTAACCCCATTTTAACATTTCATAGACTTTTCTTTATTTTGAAAATATATAAATGTATGACCAACTAGTTTTTTTTTCTAAATTAAGGAGGAATAAAACTAGAGAGAGAAAAAAGGGTTAGTTTACATTCTTCTACAGTGCAGTGGTCGGCGATTATCAGTACAATGAAGACGATTTTTTATTAATAATGCTTTGATCCCTAACAAGCATTTCTTTGATTATAAGTTTAATAGTAAGCAAAGAGAAGCTGTTAATTGATAACTTTTCTTTATTATGTGGTTTTGTGTCTGTTTGCTGTCTGTTTAAAATTGAAAGTTGTCTTCATTGTTGTGATTGCCCAGACCGGTTCTTAAAACTATTACAAGCCTTACAGACAATCTTTATTGTTGTTTTCAATTAAGATCAGAGAATCCCTTGTGGGCCCTAGAACGTTAGGAAGAGAACTGAATTAACCATTTTATACGGTTGTACGCGCGAAGGTTTTGATTGAATTGTAAAAAAACAATATTAAACATATCAATATTTTTGCATATTTCGCAGATTTTTATATTAAAGAGCAACATCTTAAAATGGAGAGCATTATGCAAACTTGCAGCTCGGCGAAATAGCAGACGGAATCTGGAATTATTCCCAGGAGACGGCGATCATGCATAATTACAACTATAATTATAAGTTCTAGGTAGAGCCCTACTAGGTAGCCAATCTGAGAATAGAATAATTTAATTTCCATATTGTGCAGATTAAGTACCGGTTCAGTGTAATTTGGAAAAAATGAGTAGATCAGATTCGTAAAAATGGCTTTTCCTCTGCATGGTATTTTAGTGTTGACAACTTGGCCTATCGACCTGGTATTCCAACCTAGGAACTTTTTGTAACCTAATAATATCACCAACTTACAAGTTATTTTTTTTTGGCAAGACAAGAATGTAGTTTCGGGTTTTCTATGAACGCTATATGAAAGTCCTTTTTAATGAGGTTTTAAAATGTCGTCGTTAAAGATCATTTGTCTTTCTAATCTACAGTTTCTGAGGTTTATACTTGTAGTTAAAGTCGGTCCTAAATCTTCGGTTTCATAGTTAAATAGATTAGGTTCATGATTTTAAAATTGTCAGCATCGTAAGAACATGGTTTGTCAAGGTCAACCCCCCGTTTTATTTAAAATAAACTGTATGTTCTTTAAACTTGTTGAATTAGACTTGAACTTTCTTGTGAGTTTTAACTCCATTTTAACTGCTGAAAACTAAGTTTAAACACCTACTACCCTCCGCAAACCCCTCATATCCAAACACATTTTAACAAGGCCAATAAAAAAGTCATTTATACAGAATCCTTAGAGATACTAGGCTGTTATCGCTTTCATTGTGTTTCAGAAAGTAAAAGTCGCGGATTTTCATGTTAAATTTATGGATTTTTAAAAATCGTAAAAATCGGGGAGATTGGATGCGAACAAATGTATAATCCAATTTCATATATAGAAGAATGATATATTAACACTTTTCATAAACCAGTCCCTAGAGAGGAATAAGAATGCCAAAATGCCAATACATATAAAGATAAAATATGTGGTTTAGTTCTTTATATTATGTTCAAAATGTTTTATTCAGGGTTACCCACAAAGGATGAGCATTTAATAATGACATGCATTAAAACATATTTTAAATGACTATAAATGTAGCGAACTAAGTTTTGGTAAATTTTAAAACTGATTAATACCTGTTATTTCTGAAGTAGTTCAGTCTTTGCGGGTAATTCTGTATATAAAAATACATTTATAACTCTGGAATAGGAAGTCGACTTTCAGACTCAAGAATATGAGGCACAGCAAAAGTGCAGTGTAAACAGACTTATTTCACTTAAAAAGTGATTTAATAACTTACTAGTAAATCTATTTGCTTTGTAACAACATCAAATGCACTTCAGTATTGCTTTAATGTCGTCTTCCTATTCTACAGTTTTCTGGTGATTACTGTATTAAATCCTGTTGATAGTTTAGATGTTGATAAAAGTTTAGTTTATTGTAGAATTTCGTCTAATTTGAACAATTTTTAAACAGTTAAGTTTCTGGTCTAGCAACTCTTTTTCTTTCAATCTTCGCTCTTCGTCAAATGAAACCTCCTCCTCCTGGAAAAATAAAGTTTAATAAAGTGAGAAATTAATTTAATTTTGATAAATATTTCGGAACATACTTGTACAATGTACATATTCATGTACGTGTTCATAAGAATTCCGGACCTAAACAAATTCGAGTTCATAATATAACAATCTTATACGAAATTCCGCTATTATGTTATTTGTCTTTATGGATTCCGGAACATACCGATATTTTAACTTTAGGTTCCGGAAATGGTAGCAAATCTTATTTGATTTATTTATTCAAGAAAGAATTTTTTTGACCGAGTATCTTCTGTTCTGCATTGTATTTCTTTGCTTTGGGAAAACAGTTGTGTTTCCTTTGTGCATTTTCTGAATAATTCAATTGTTTTTAATGCATCTAGTTATTTAAATATTTACAAAAAGGGATTGTTCACTTTTTTTAAATACGGTGTCATGGTAAAAACTATTGATTGAATAATTATGATATTTTATTGCAAAACAGATCAAAACAAAAACAAAAGAAGATTTGTATAATACTTATTATGAATATACATTACTGCTTTAAAGGCCTCTCTTTTATTGTGTTAATTTTAGTTTTTAAATTTTGATTTCCATGCCACAATCTTCGTACATGATTAAAACTTTTCATTTTGAATATTTTCCTGTTTTCATTCCAGGATTCCAGGATTCCAGGATTCCAGGATTCCAGGATTCCAGGATTCCAGGATTCCAGGATTTCCAAAATGAAAATGTGAAGATCGAATATTTCTAGAGGAAATTTTTGTTTATTTCGACCGACCATAAAACTTGCCTGGGCTCATTCTTTTCTTGTAAAAAATAAGAATTACAATCAATTTAAAGCAAGTATGAGTAGTTATCAGGCGCGTAGTGGAGGTTTTGCCTAGGGGGTACAATTTTGGCACGCGAAGTGCGCCGAATTTTTTTTTGTACACCCCCCTAAAAACCGGTATTAAGAAAAAAAAAAGTTTAAAATCTACATTAATCTACCTGAAGGCTGACTATTAGTCATCAGACCATAATTACCAATCATTTTAAATGAAACCCCGCGAAAAAAAATATTGTAAATAAGATTAAGGTACAAGAAAGAATTTTAGAAATAATCATAAAATGGACAAATTGTGACATTGATCAGCTCATGAACAAAAATATATATTAACATATCATATTAATACGTTATAAATATTACATGAATAAAATAGAAACCTTCCGACAATAATTGCCTCCTTACTGAAACTCTTAAAACCTGAACAGTCCCTTTCACCTGAAAAACTGCTTTGTTGCATGATAGTTGGCCCTTAGTTCGCATCGGCCTGAAATAAATCTAGTTTTACAAGGAAAATATATATTTTCTTCTTTTGTTGGAAGAAAAAAAAATAAAAAAGAGGTAATAATAGAATAAGACAAGAGTAAAGTTGGATTTGAAATGAAAGCATAAATGAAAGTGATTTGAAATGAAAGCATAAAGGAAGGGGGGGGGGAGTTAAATCTGGATTTGAAATGAATTGTAAACGGATGTTGTAAGAATTGTCACGATTGTGTGTGCTCTGTTCTTCCTATTTTCCAATAAAAGATTTGTTTTCAAAATTCTCCACAATTGAAAAACTAAAACAAAAATTCCACAATATGTTAATATAAAGAATATACACCCGAGATTATTAACGCAAAAGCATATTTTCGTGCTAACATTAAAAAACTGATGGAAAAGTGTAAATCGTTTAAATTGAAATAAAAAGGACTTGAACACTTTAGTTTTCTAATCATTATATCTTTGCAACCTCATGTTCTAAACCTATAAAATATTACATTAACCCCAGTTTGTTTTTAATCTTCCTGATAGAAACAATCTCAAGAACTGACGAGGGTCAACCCAGACCGAAATATATTTTCAATAAATGTGGAACTAACATCTACTTTTTTTAACAAGAGGTTTGGTCCATCACCATCATCGAATTTTAAACATACATTAACTTTGACTGATTGATCTTGCAGAATTTATACTTTGTAATACTAATATCAACGGTCTACAAAAACAGTTTCCAATGGATTAGAAACTTCAGTTCCTTAATGATAAAAAAAAAATCATTCCGGTCCAATTCAAATAAATAAAAGATTGGGCCGGTGGGGGGGNGTAATTTTGTGAAATTGAGGTTAAGAACTTTCTATTGAAATAAGGATTGCACTGGTGTACAACCAAATGATAAGGATTCAACCTTAACTGCAACTTGATATCCATATTATGGATTATATTTCCTAATACGGTTGAAGATAGGGATTAAAAATGAATTATTGGATTGTGGAATAACTGCAGTATCAATACTGCACTGTGATTTTGCATTTTAATATTGAATAGAAAACAACTAGCTGGCTATTCCGCCTCATTTAGAAAAATAACAATTTATTTCTAAAGTCGAACCTTTAAAATATAACTTTAGTGAAAAATGGAAAAATTCGTTTTTTAGGAAAAAAGTAGAAAACGTGTCAGGAGCTCAACGTTTTTATCTTTGTACTAAGAATGTTTTAATTATTATCATTTAAAAAAATTCGGAGATAAATTTTTTTTTCTAAGGGCATTTGGCAGCCTAAAATCGTAACTCGTAACTTCAATCGTAGATCCATGACCTTTGTTTTCTATGTTTTTAAAACTGGGAAGTACAAGCTCTAACTTTGTCAGCTTAATATTATGAAACTTTCAGTCAACAACCTGATGTTGAAGCAAAGGAAGATAACCCCATGTTTTACCCTCATATCTTGGTTTGCAAGTGGGAAATGTATTTCTGGAAGGAATAAAAACAAAATCTTTGTATAAAACGCGAATTTTGTACTGCATGCATCGTAATAAACTTTGCATGCATCGTAATAAACTTTGCATGCATCGTAATAAACTTTGAGTCTGAGGAGTTTTGAGATTTCTTGTTATTTCTTCCAGAGATAGCAGTGCACTTTTTTTGTTACCGTACCAGTAAAGAAATTGGGTCTTTGCAATAGTCACAAACTTAAATTTTCTAATTCCTATATCTTTGCAATCTGATGGTCTGAAACTTTAATACTTCAAACGCAGAACTGATAGTTTGAAATATCTAAGGTCTAAGACATTGGGGTTCAAATATAAAGGGAATAGAAAATCAGAGTTTGTGGCAAAGGCTCAATTTCTTTATTGTAATGAAAATATTCCATTAAAATAGCGACCCTCCCACATCATCATCATCATCTTAAGTTTAAGTTTTCTACAAAATTTATATTTTTTTTAATATTTTAAACTTATAGTTTTCAATTGACCTAAGGTTGTAATGCAAGGAAAGTTAATTGCAGCTGCGTATACTCTGCGTACATATTGAAACCAGTTCTCTCTGGGCGGAATTTGTAAACAAGAATTTTGATAATTATTATAATTCACATAATAGTTTCCTTTGACAAGAATATTTCATTGATTTTTCGTGTGAAAGATGGATCCCATGTCAGGGTTCGACATCCGTCTTGTGTTTACATTACCGCCCAGTGACAGTACACTGCAGTTCAAAAGATGCGTACACCTCTGAAATAACTGTCTTGCATTAAATCCTTGAATTTACCTAAGAAGTGCTGAATCTGATAAGCGTGAACTTATTTTAGGTTTTTTCGATTTCTTGGCTTTTTTCTTTTCACCATTCTTCTTCTCAGAGAACTCCATGGGAGGATCAGAACTGAACAAATAACGTATATACTGAACACGTTAAAGGAATTGTTCATATTTGGGTATAGCTTGCTGTTGGTATCAATTGTTGAACACAAATTGAAATTTCATGCAGTGTTATTAGTTAACTAAAAAAAGTATTGGAGCTAATTTTTTACACGAGTTTTAAATTTAATTTTAGAGACCTTTTCCACGCTAGAAGGAAAAGAAATAAAATTTGATACATTAATCTCCTATATCATATTACATCTATATACATAAAGTAGTAATCTCTGTTTGTTTGTTTGTATGGCCATATCTTATTAGCCCCATGACCGATTTGCCTCAAATATTGACAGACTTTAGTAGGTTGACGTATATAGGGAAGCTAAACTTATAGTCAACCTACTAAATTTTGAATGTTTAAACCAATTTAATAACGAAATTGTTGTTCCAACGAGTTTCCCTTTCAAAATATTTCGGTACACCGGTCAAGAGATTCATGAGTAATGATCAAAGATAATATATATATAGATATGCAGGCAGGTATAAATTTTGAGGTCTTAAGAAAAGGTGCAAACAGCACCATCTCTGTCGTACGCATGGCATTTTATCCTCTGGATTGTTGCTAATTTATCACTTTGTTTATGCGTGATAACCCTAAATGCGCACTATAGTATCAACAATGTATACTGCATATTGTACTTAATGAAACAAATTAATCAATGCAAATAAAACTGAGGTAGGAATTTGACTAGACAAAGTTTAAATGTGCAAGTTGTACTGAATGGCATTCGTAAATTAACGCAATTTAAATAAAAATTATGACTAAAAAGTACATCGAATCTAGGACAAAGTCCTAATAGCGGACAGGATCCGGTCGAACAATACATCCCATTCAAGACTATTATGGTCGGTTGCTCCTGGCTCTTCATGGCTCACAACTAGCTCATCACCCCCTTAACCCCAAAAACTCAAAAAAACTCCATTACTTTCCTAAAATGATCATCCTAGGTTTGGTGCGCTCAAAACTTCAATTTGATTGGTATATAAAAAAGAAATGAGCCAGCCCCAGTCCATTATTCCCTTTGATAGCCTTAGTTTAATTTTTTTAAATAATTCAAATTTGCCATGAAATTACCCAAATAAGTAAACCGTCCCTTTAAACTTCTGTTTTTTAAACTTTCCAAATTCATAGAAAATTCTGCAAACAAATGCAGGAAGGAACTGTTAATCTTTTCTTTGTTATTATGCAATAAAGTTAGCCCAATTCTTGCTGGGGGGGGGGGGGTTAGGTTACCACCCTCCCCTTGACATTTTTGGAGACTATAAAAGTATTGGTCTGAGGCTCTTCAAACTTTTTGAGTTTTCTAACTAACACATGCCCATCACTTTTGGCTCAAAGTGGGGATTTTATACCTACTGCCTGAGTCTTCAGGCATATTGCCTGAATGCCTTATCTTACCTTTACCCGACTAAATCTATATTTAGACCTACCTATATCTTAATTGCATATTGTGGTACCAATTAAAAAATCTAATTTTATTTAAATATCTCATAAAAACCGTTTGATTAAATAGATATCACTTATTTAACAAATATAAAATAATTTCCAAAGGTTTGTCAATATTTCTGTTTGTCTATTATATCTTTACTAAGCACAACTGATCATAACATAAACAAAACGCGTACTTTTTGTTTGTGTTACCTTGAAATTTAATTTTATTGGTCAAACAGGTCCAGATAGCAACACTTGAACTATACAGGATGCAATACGCGTACTGTATGTTTATATAACACGAATGCGTATTTCCTACAGATGGCAGCAAGGGGAGAAAGGAATGTAGAAAGTAATCAATTTGCTATAGATGTCTCTCCTTGCACCTTCTCTCAGAGGTTCAAAAATTAGTTGTCTGCTACAAGCAATTTAGGAAGGAGGTTTCTACCTGCCTGCATATCTATATATATATTATCTTTGGTAATGATCGGATACACAAAGGTTACTACTTTATAACCGGGACGGGTCCAATTTCTAATCTAAACCGAAGTGGACATTTTTTCCGATAACTTAAATAATCTTAATCTTAATTGTAAAAAAACAGCTGACTTGTAGAAGATTCAAAAGGAATATCTGAAAACTTTCAACCAAAAAAAAATACGGATCAGCTTGCTTGTTGAAGGGGCTCCGCTAACAATTTACAACAGTTCTGAGGCCGTTCCTTTTATCATTACATTGGTCGACCACATGACGCCTTTGGTTGTATGAATTATCTATCAGTTTAGCGTGAGGCATCTGGCGGCCAAACTATCCTCCTCCAAAGTACGACCAATGTTTGTTCATACATTTTTAAAGAGAGAACGGGCTCTGATCTATCTCTAAAAATATCCAGTATAGTTGACAGGGGCGTAGTCAGGAAATTGTCCAGGGGGAGCTTAAATTTTTTTCTTTCTAGGGGGGGCTCAGCACCCGTCGGGCCCCCCAAACACCTGAAAAAAGGGACATTCAGAATAGCTGCAGCTCAAAATTTCCAATCTGATGGTGTTAACAAAAACCTTTGTATAAAGGATATAAAGACAAAGCCAACATTCCTATGAGACCGTGATTAAAGTCATAAAACTTAAGAATCTAATAGTCGCCTTCTTATTCCACAGTTTTATGAGTCTCAGTGTAGAAAAATAAAAGTGAATTTTCTTTACCCTTGATACTATTGGTGTTTTTGTTCTTTCTAATTCCGATTCTAATTGTTCTTGACTAAATATTTGTTTCAGGGAAACTATTCTGAGAAAAAAGAAAACAGCTGTTTGCAAACTAAATAGTAATAAGAAAGTAATGAAAACTAGCTTTTCTTTCGTTTCTTAAAGGGACTGTATACGTAATTTTAAGGGAATCTCGATTAATAGAGTGCCATGTTAGATTCACAGGCCGGTACCCTGAAACCTTTGTCTGACTGCAGGAATGCATGAGATACCCGTCAACTTAAACAAATTGATTATTTTTAACTGTGGTTTCTTTACGAAGTGACTTGCCATTTTCTGCTGTACAGACAATGGAGGAAATTGCTAGAATTAAACACTTTTCAAGCTAGAAAAACGACGATATCTTTAACATCATTGATCAGATAAAGGTTTAGAGACTGGTTCATTTCAAGTACCGGGCCGACTTTCAAACGGCTAGAGCAAGCTGTATACAAAACAATTACAGACCATGTAAGGCAAACCTGGACGGTACGCCAAATGAATGATCCCCTTCTAGTTACATGTATGTGTAACGGGGTACCGTTGTGAATCCGGTATGACCTTTTTTTCTCATTTTTTCAGGAATGTCAATTAAACTTAAAAGAAATGTTGTAAACCAATTTATTTTCTCCTGAATACCCTCGACCTCTTTTTCCTCGTCTTCCACTTAATTCTTAATATTTCTTCAATTTTAATTTTCTAATTATTTTCCTCCAACTTCGTTTTTTTGAAATATTTCTTTTATGAATAAAAATCAGTAGTTATTTAGAGGTGGTTTTCAGAAATGGAGTTTCTTGGTCCCAGTCTAAATTTTGTTTTCTAAAAATGTGGTATGATGACAGTACTAAAAGGTTTGATAGATTTTCGCACATTGCTTTGAAACTATAACACTGGATTTACAGAACTTATGGAGTTTCTTTAGATTTGCTTTATTTGATGGTGAGATATATCCTCTTGATATATATATATTTATTAAAAGTTGTAATTTTTTTGTTAGGTTAGGAACCCCTTTACCGATTTACATCAAATTTTGATTGGGGAAATCGTTAGAACTACGTAAATGCTTTGTAAAAAAATTATTTTCAAGGCAAAGAGAAGTTCCCAAAATAGTTCGTTAGTGTATGTACACTGTACACTGTACAGGGTTACCTACAAAGGATGAGGATTTTAAAGTTGAATTAGGTCCTTTCTTTAAATCAAGTCTTTCAATAGAATAATAAATAATTTGAAGAAAGAAACAGTTTGGAGAACCATAAATAATGACTAAATAATTTTCGTAAATTTGTCTCATCTTAGACATGTATAGTATTGGTAATAAGGCAACAAATCTGATGTAATGTAATAAGTGCTTTTAAATGTAAAAATATCTCTATATTAATATGTCTAATCTTATTTGATTTATCTGTCCTGTACTTTCTCTAATATTATAGTGCATCCTCTCTCACACGTGTTCCACGTTTCTCCTGTCCAATATGTTTTTCCTGTCCGACGTTTCTCTAGTCCCATGTTTTTTTTTTCTGTCATCCGTTTCTTCTGACCCACGTTGTCCTGTCCCATGTTTCTCCTGCACCCAGTGTCTTGTTTCTCTTGTCCTGTGATTCTCCTGTCCGACATTTCTTCTGTACCCCGTTTCTCCTGTACTACGTTTCTTCTGACCCACGTTTCTCCTGTCCCATCTGTTTCTCCTGCACCTTGTGTCTGTTTCTCTTGTCCAACGTTTCTCCAGTCCCATGTTTCTTCTGTACCATCTCTCTCCATTCCCATGTTTCTTCTGTCCCCCGTTTTTTCTGACCCACGTTTCTCCTGTCCCCCGATTCCCATGTCCTACATTACGTCTGTTCCCAGGTTTGTATTTTTCTACGTTTCTCCCATCCCATGTTTGTCCTAGTACCTAATACCTTGTAGGATGTGTGAATAATGGATAAACTTAAGCTTATAATTAAAATGGATGTAGTAACAGGGTACATATTTCAAGAACTCCCCCCCCCCCTCGGATTTTTTATACTTTTGGATAATAATGAACAAATTGGTCTCTATAAACGAAAATTTAACCTGAATGAAACCCTCCTGTTCGACAAAGTTTTTACAAAATTTTCTTTTTTCATCGCTGATTTATTCAATTTAAATTCATCTTCTATAATGTATTCTTCTTCTTTCTCACTTTCTTCCCCTACTTTTTCTTCCCTATTTTCGGCCATTTCTTTTTTACAAGTAGTTGTTACGATGATGTAAAAAAAACGATTATTTGGTGTCCATTTTTCAATCAAATTTGTCTGCAAAAGAAAGAATATTTTAAAGACATATCTTATGAACTTGATAAGAAAAGAAACTTATTATTACTGGCCACAAAATCATGTTGTCTTTCATATTAGAAACTTTGACTATTTGATCAAGCAGAATTCATAATTTTGAATATCAAAGATCTACCACATAAAGTTGCAAAGATATAAGGAATAGAAAAATAGTAATTAATTTGTAATGTGCTCTATACCGTAAGTGGACATAAGATAATTTAAATCAAAAATGGTGATATCTGCCGCTGGTCTAACTTTGACTGAGACTGAAGTAAAAACAAGAGGATATCACGGAACCTTAGAACAACACTCAAACTAGAGTTATCATAATACCTTTCTCTCTCATAGAACCTTGCTCCCTTCTGGAAACCCCGTCCCTCATAGTACCTTGCTCCCTCATAGCTAACCTTTCTTCTTCATAAAACCTTCCTTCCCATAGAACCCTACACCCTCATAGGACTCATGGACATTGCTCCCTCATAGCTAACCTTTCTTCTTCATAGAACCTTCCTTCCCATAGAACCCTACACCCTCATAGAACCTTGCACCCACATAGCGAACCTTGCTCCATCATAGAACCTTCCTTCCCATAGAACCCTGCACCCTCAGAGAACCTTGATTCCTCATAGAAACTCACTCCAACGATTATTGAACATTTCTCCCACATCATACTTTGTTCCCTTAAAAACTAATTTCGTCAACGAACATTACTCCCTCAAAGAAACTTACTCCGCCATAGAACCTTATTCCTTAGAACTTATTCCGTCATAGACATGGCCTTCTCATAGAAACTTATTCCGTCAAAGGAATTTGCTAGCTTCAAAGGAACTTATTCAGTCACAGCATCTTGTTCCACCATAGAAAGATATTTCCCCCCTCGAGACTTATTTCGCCATAAAACTTAACTTCCTTTTAACCATTCCGACATAAAACCTTCAATTATTAACAAAGAAGAAAAATATTCTAATTGTTTGGATAAAAAAAATTATATAATATATCAATGAGCTGGATTCGACTTCACATCTGAATGCGAACGAAATTATATAAAGAGGATGCATCAAAATGGAATTTAGAAAATAAAATGAAAAATAGAAAAAGAAGCCTGTAAGTAAACTCTCATCACTGTAGATACATACATACAACTAAATGAATATTAAATTGCACTAAGTTTATTAAAGAATCTGCTATTTTGGCACGTATAACATAATTTATCAGGGAAAATGGGAATTATTGATTTTTATCACTATTTCTCATAAGCAGTACATACACTGTGCAACGTACATGGTACACCCTTAGGGTGTAGTGTCGCTATGAAATCAAATACAGGGAGATTTTTTATTTAGTTTTTTTATCTGCAGAGACTTTTTTCATTTCAGAATTAAACTGGTTACAGTAAGGATTTTATATGTTCAGGTGAATATTGTTCTACGAGCACTCATACATTTTATTCTTCACTGTTTAGTAAAGTTATAAAATCTATACCCGCTCAACAAACAGTTCCTCACTCACTGGTCGGCAATAACAATATTTAATTTTAAAATAAGATAAAAATTCGGGGAACTTTTCGAAATGTGTTTCTTATTTGATTGCAAACATTAATTATTCCTCTATTTACTTTAGTAATAAACTTTTGCGTAAACGAAACCTGTAAATATTTCATTAATAATTTTCCTAAATCACAATGTGTTTTTTTTTATGCTGTAACTTTAAGCTTGATTCCGTAACATATAACAATGGTAGTTTTTATAGCAGAGATCAAAGAGAAAACTTCTTAAATTTTTACCCGAGCCTTTTTTTTAGGGGTTTTGTAAGTTTTATTAAAAAAAATCATATCACTGATAATTTGATATTAATGAGCATCTTCAGCTTGTGCTTTAAAAACAAGATACTAAACTGAACATTTAAGGTGCAGTAAAATTCCTTTTAAATAAGATTTTAAATTTGTACCGTACTTGATTAACTTTGATTTAAATGACAGAGGCCAGATTAATTAATTATATAAAAAACAATATTTTATCTGAATACATTAAATTATACATAGAGGTTTACATTATACAAACATTCAAGCGTAAATTGTTATTGTGTACATGATTACAGTACACGGCAGAAGAGTTACTGAGCGACCAAATTTTTGTGTGATTATGGAAATTTAACGCGGAAAGCTAGTCTGCAAAATAAAAGAAAAATGCTCAAGGGATTAATTTAGTTAAGCCGTCTAGAGTAATCTTTTCATGATAAATTTAATATTTTCTCGTCTCATAATTAGGTAAAATTCTTCCATTACAAACGATAGTACGCATGTTATGTGAATAGAAATAAATAGAAGTAAAGAGAAGAGATTGAAACAAGCAAATATTAAAACAGACATTGGATTCTTTTTGTATTTATTAAGGAAGTTTTTCAAAATCCAGGATTTCTAAGAAGAAAATCAGAGAGGAAAAAATAATTGTTCGATTCAAACATTTACTGTTTAATACCTTCCCTACAGAGGCCAAACCTACCTATCTTCTGAAAAAAAAATCAAAAGAGGGGGGAGGGGTGATTTTTCAGGAAAATATACTCCCTGCCCAATATTACTTGAATCTCTTCTGAGTATTAACAGGAATATAGGTAGATACTTCAAGAAGGTAAATGAATCATGCCGTGTACGGCTAGTACAATAGGTATTTCAGTTATTTACTAATGTGTATGGAAGAAAATGAAAGGAATGGCAAGAGGCTAAACAATAAAATGAAATGTGCTAGGACGGGTGAAGTGATCTAGATTCGTTTCTTTCCCGACTAGATTTCCGTATCTTGAGACGTTCTAAATTTATCGTAACAGTTTCACATTCATCCTCGCTTCCCTCGTCACTTACACTCCAGCTGAAATAGCTTACACTGAACGATATTTTTTGCGAGTCATCCAAGTCGTATGATTCGGGACTGGACTCGCAGGCAGAGTTGGAGAGCGTGCTCTCACCCTGCGATCCGCCCCGACCACTCGCATCGTCACCTTTTGGGGATTCGAGGTCCTGCAACGCCGGAAAAACGATTTGAGGGATTTTTCGTGCTTTGCGATTTGATTTCACTTTTATTCGACTCACTGGAGGAGGTTTCTTTCTGGTTCATGTCGCGTTTTTTCTTCTTACGTTTCGACCGTTTCACTTGACTAAAATCACTTCGATGTTCGACAAATTTGTTCGTTGTTGCGGAAGGATCAGATAAACGCCCGTTTCCAGCATTTTTAGCGTCACAGGCAGGGGAACCTCCATCAATAGGGGTTAGTTTGGATCCAGAACCTTTTTCAACAACAGCTGGGGCTTCACAACTTTTACCTGTCCGAGGTTCGGATTTTCTCCCACCAACCGTTTCAACTTGCTTCCGAGCATTAGACTCGGATGCTTTCTTGTTGGGTTTAGAATCCAGGATTCTTTTATCCGAAGATTTAGGTTGCACTATAGTAACATCGCTTTTGGATGGTTCCTCTTTCTTCTCTGAAATAATTACAAAATAAATTCGTCCAGTAACCTCACAAAAAAGGGGAAAACCTAAATCCTTGATCACACAAAATTAATCTTTTTTTAAGAAAAGTATTACCAAATGTTTTCTTGGGGCGGGGGGACCTTTAACAAGTTTCATTTATATTTTCTTAAGGAGTTTGATTTTCACAATATTTTTTATTTTAATCATTGCAACCTGTCTGCGAAGCTTAAGAATATCGCTAATAAACATATTATTACCTATTGGTTCAGTTGTTGCTCCTTTTTTCTTATTATCTTTCCCCGAAGGGGGTTTTGATATTTCATGATCTCTCCAGTTCCAATCTTTGTCTGCTCTATCTCCGCCTTCAGTTTTCTTACTCTCTCCACCACTGTTACTAGACCGGTCGGAGGCAGGACCCGAAGCGGATGCTCTCCAATTCAAGTCAAGATCCGCCCTGTCCTGCCGACCAGTGGCACGCCTACTCCATGTGCTGTGTCTAGATTTGGGCGTGGCAAACTGAGGTTTAGATTGAGATTGTGCTGTGGGGGGAGAAGCTGAAAGAGCGGGTCCCGACGTCCTTGATATTGATCTGGTTCCAACCTCACTATTCGCCGGACTTATAGACATAGCAGAGGCAGGTGTACTCCGGGACAGAGTAGGGGAAGCAGGACGAGCTGGAAGCTCCGGAGAAGATGTTCTCTCCGGTGAGGAAGAACAACAGCTCTCCGAACTCTCCGACGATGAGTCCTCTTTATCTTGAGCTAGGTAGGTTGAAGGTAAGCTCTCCTCAGGGTTTATATGGTGCTCTGGATTAGTTTTCTCCTCTGCTATTGGTGGAACCGGAGACACAGAATCTTCTGAAAAAAATTGAATTATCAAAATTTACTGAACATTTTTCGACTGAAAGGGTTTAATGAAAAAGGAGCTGAAGAAACAAACGAAGACTGAAAGATAAAATACTCCTCAGACTCAATGTATTAAAAGGGTCTGAACAGATAGAAAGTATATTTACCTCGTTCCTCCGGTGTAGAATGAGGAAAGGTTTGTTTGACCCAGGCCCTATAATCCAGCGTAGCCTGGTCAACCTGTATTATCCTTGAGAGTAAGGTGGGGCTAGCAGAGGCGCCACCACGACAAAGCGCGCGGGTCAATTGACCAAACGCGTAGTCAAAAGCTTGTCGCACCTAAAATAAATTATTTTTGTAACTAGTAAAAAAGCTTGAATTTCAATCACTGTCACAAAACTATTATTTTTATTTAAAGGCACTGCTAACTTATTTTCAAGTGATCCTCCATGTAAGGACGGCACCCTTAAAACCTTTATCAAAAATGTCGATTACCTCGTCATTATTCTATGTGTTCAATGGTTTAATTCCTGACAATTCTGATATCATGTTCACATGGCAAACCTTGTAAGGGTACTCTAGTAAATCGGACAATGCCACTGTCGAATTAAGCATTGGCAGTCCACTTAAATATCTTTAACTGGAATATATATCGGTTAAAAATTATCCCATCTTGTGTTTTTTACCTGAAGTGCGCCGTAGCTTGATTTTCCAACATCGTTACCAGCTTGAAGAGGATCCTCAATACAAAGCAGGCTGGGTCGATGACCAGGAGGCATACTATCCTGTAATTAATCAACATGAAGGAAATTAAACAATTTGCTAACAGAATGATTAAAGATAATAACATTAATATTTTATTTAAGGGTTTTAACTTTTTTTTGCGCTCAGATCCGTAACTCACCCCCCAGTTTTCTTTGATATAAATTTGTTTTGTACCAACATTTTAACGAAAGGGTTTATACGTTTTTGTGACAGTTAAAATTGAAAAAAATCAAATTTTCTAGTCAAAAAGATTTTAAAAACTTGTTTGTTTTGCTTTAATTTTGTAGTTTGTTCTTCAATAATGCACTAATAGTGCTAAAAATGACTAATATCTAACCTGTATCTCCTGTTTGGAAACATATTCTCCCTCCCCTGCTACTCGTATCCCTGTGTGCAGGTAGTTGAAGTTACGCCCATACAGCTCGAAGAATTCTAAATAACAAGGTTCTAAATGGTATGCTTCGCGCCACTATTCTTCAAGTAAACTATGCTGCCTTTTTTAATCTGTTACATTTCACATCTTTTCATTTTTAACTGGTACAGTGGATTTTCAATTTAAGGCTATTTTTCATGTATTCAACTGGTCCCTTAATACCTTCCCATGAGGTCATATGGGTACCACAAATTTTATTGGGGCCCGATCGGTAGACGAGTTTTACAAACAGACAACCCGAAAATGTGTATAATTCTAATATTTGGGCCGTCAAAATGAGACTAGTGCACGGAATTTAATTGACATTTACAAAATTAAGAATGAATGTTTCTTTGTTTTAATAAATGTCAATTCATCGATTGTTAGAAAGGATGGACATATATGTTAAATACGGATCCAAATATTCCATAAATTCTTATTCTTAAGTATCAGAGACGACGTGTTTTTTGAACATTAGTTTAATGTTTTAACCCTTAAGAGACTGCATTTGCAGATGCGAATACGATAAAAAATTAGAGATTTAAAACTTGACAGAAGAAAACTGAAGTGTGAGTGTACATTTAATATTTGTGGATCAGGTTCTGCAACCCTTTGTATAGTTTGGTTAAGGTTGGGTCTATCATAAATAGATGAATGAACGTGACTAAGGATTATTGGTTCTTAAACTCAAACATAATCCTCACTGCACAGCGTTACCAAAATCTTGAGTCTGTTAAATAAAAATAAATAAATAGATGAAGTATATAATTTATAAACTGCATTTTGATTCTTAAACATTGTTTCTTTTATCTAAATATCTGCACGATGAGTTTCAAAGTCTGGGTATCATAACTACCAAATAGCTGAACAAACTATGATGGTTCCAACTCCACAATTATTTTGCAATCCTAGCGTGTCATAAATCATAATACAACATAGATTTTATTTCTTTCTTTCCGAGTAAAAATATGCTTTGAACTGAAACAATTAAAAAAAAAATTCTGTTCAGAGGGGGGTTGCTTCACATATAAAAACCAAACATATTTTTGGGGTTAGGTTTTGTTTAGACCAGATCTGGGCCAAGCGCTGAAGAAGGACGCATCCAATACTAGGAGAGCACAAAAATATTAGAAGAGAAATCCTTGTCTTTTTTAAATCATATTTGTGCGCACATAGTTGGGCGTGGTTTAAATCTATTGATAAATATTTTGTTGCTGTATAGTTTGATTATACCAGATCACCAGGCTGTATTCTGCGCATAAACTAGTACCATGAGAAGGCAGGAATACTGTTGTGTAATGTTCTATTGTGAATCAGTGGATCCTATGAGTTAGGGTTTACCGACAAGATGAATCCTGTTCCGAGGATCAGAGTAATTCCTACGTAATATATAATATATTCGTATTTTCTCCATTTTAGACATAATTCTTTTAAGAATTGATATGGGAAAAAATGGCCATATAGCCCATTAAAGTATCTAATCAGAGATAGGGCTGCACTGGCTTAATGTCTTAGCAACTTAAAAAAACCTTTAAATACCTTATTAGAGATACAGCTATTTGTGTTTGCAACTTAAAAATAATCCTTATACCTTCCTAATCAAAGATTGGGCTTAAAAATAGCCTTTAAATATTCCAAAAGAGACATATAATAGAAAAAGAACGAAATTAATGTTAATATCCAAAAATAAAATTATGCACGAGTGTATTTGACCTATAAAACTGGAAAAAACATGATAAATGATGTTTCAGGAATTTCTCGTTTAACGGACCGTTCATTCTTTTGGGCAATTTTACGGTATTAGTCTTACTTTCCAAAGATAGGTATATTCCTAGAGAACGATTTTTGGAAAGTGTCTTAACCTAACCTAACCCTAAATAATAATAAATAAATATTAATTTACTAATTTCGTCATGTACAAAAATAATAGGAGGGACGCGGGGTGCCGGGGGGTCCAAAAATCGTTCACTAGGACAGACCCCAAAGATATCTATGACCGGAGGAAAAGCCGATTTATCGTTTAGAATTCCAACGGAAAGGTATACCTTTGAATAGACACTATTTTAACGTCTTTTCAGTGACTAAAATCTAAAATTATCATATTTCAATGAAATTATGTGGCAGCCATTATATGATAAGATCTACAAACTTTTGATTTTAGAATTAGCAACAAATTAACGTTTTTCATGTTCAAACGCGATATAACAAATTAACAAGTTTATACAAAGACGACTTTCTCTCTCAGACAAACTGGTTCCTAGATTCCAACCTTTCATTTAATAACAGGGACTTCTGAGGAAGTAGAGAAAACGTATCAAACCGTCAAATGTTTAAAGAAGTTATATTTTGAAAATAAAAAATTTAAAAATAATTTTGAAAAACATTAAAGATATCTACAATTGACTATTAGATAGTACAGTTTAATATTTGTAAATTTTAAAATTCGTGACTAAGACAAAATGCATCAAATAGTCAATATGCAAAGGTATTATTCTTTTGCGCTGGAATCCTGAATGATAAATCGGCTTAATCTCAGGCCACAGTTGTCTTTGAAAAGTAAGAAAAATACACCGATGAATAGCTACTGGCTATTTAGTTTACCCTCAAATTATCCAAATAAGTGAACGTTCCCTTTAAAATACATTTCGTTAGGCTGGGTTGAAAAGCAAACTGAGCCGAATGGCAAACAATTTAAAAACATTCAACGATATTTCCCCTCCACAGAAGAATTCATTTCTCAATTATAAGGTAAACGCAGAAGACAGTTTTTAATCTCTCAATGGGAAAAAAGTTTCATCAAGAGCGAAATAACTTTCCACTTAATTTATGTAAATAATCACCCCTCAGTGTTACCTAGTAGTAGAACTCCGAGATTAGCTGAGCTGGAGTAAGCGTCTAGTCTAGGATGAAGTTGAAGGAATGAGACAACCATTAGGATTAAACAGTAGGAGGACAAACCTCCCGTAAACACCTGGAATAGAATCAACATGAACATCAGGATATCCATAAATATCAATTTATTTATTTTATTTGACTTGACTGTTGGTTTGTTTGAATTCAATAAACATCAAAACAGATAAACCAATCTGTTTGTGAATAGGTGAACAAAATATCAAAAAATATTTTCTAAAATTACTAAAATCCATTTGGGAAAATCGGCGAAACTAGAAGAATCCTAGTAATATGAAGTTAGGATACAAGTCAGGAATGATCTATCGTTATTTTTCTTTATTAGAAAATACTGAATATTTTGCAAATGTAGATTATTTTTCTTCCTTAAAGGGACTGTATACGTAGTTTCAGGTAAGTAACCCTCCTTTTTTGTGGAGTGACTCTTCTATTTTGGAAAGTGTTAAATTCTTATAAAGCACTCTTTTCTTGTCTGAGGCTTATATCAGAGTGTCACGTTTATAAGGAAACCATAATTAAGTTAAAAAACCAAATACATCTCATTCATCTAAAGTCTTTAATCAGTCACTGGATGAAAGAGTAAATCGTTGTTAAATAAGCATGCTTCTCTTTTGGAAAGCTACTTGAAAACTCGAGACAGAAACGGAGTAATCTTTAAACAGAACAGGTTTAAAGTGGGAGGAGAAACAGATTAAAAAAAAAACCAGTTTTCTATAAGGAGAATTCCTTAAAAGAAAGTAAGAGTTGAATAGTTCTGCTTTCTCAATGTTTTCACGGTCGAGTTTTCTGGGTCTTCACAAGGCAACAATTCGAAGGAGTAAAAACCTAAACCTTGAATACTTGATTGACATATTAAAACCTACTACGCTGGTATCTAGATCCCGCAATTTAGATTTGGATCCCGGATCTATGAAGTGGCAGCCAACAACTATGTTTTTGATCCCGGATCTGTTAGGCGAGAACTATGGGTTTTTGATCCCGGATCTTTGCCCCCCCCCCCCACCGCCCCAAATCTTTGTTCCCAGATCTAGGGGTTTTGATTATGGATCTGTTGGGCTTTAGTCCCAAATCTATGAGGTTTGATTCCGGATTTAACGGGTTTGATTCTGGATCTAGATAAAGCGATTAGTCTAGTTTCTAATAAGATATTTTCTTGAGATAGTGTTCTAGTACTTATTTAAAAAGTTAATGTTTTATTATCTTTTTAATATCCATTTGTTTTACAAGAATTTTAATATTTTTCAGAAAATATTTTTAATACGAGTTTTCCTATAAAATATCTACAAAGCTTGATGAAAGTTACAAGTGTGAACTTAGTTGCACCTGCTCAAGTTTAATAATAAATTCTATATAAATATTAATGTTTCTTAGAAATGTAAAAATATTGAACAAAAAATGAGGAACAATATTTTTATCCTTTATATCATATACAGGGTGTCCCACGAAACATGACAATAGCAAGACGACTTGAAAGTCGTCTTTGGTATTTGAATTTATTTGTGACATTTAGTCTTCTATCTACTTTAACATGTATGATTCTTGAAACAACTATCACATAATTCTCCTAGCCCTGGCATTTCCAAAAAGTGGTCTGCGTTTTTTGTGCTTTCAATAGTACTGGAGATATAAAGAGTTTGGTTCAGATTTCAATTTTGTTAAATAAAAGCAAAATTGTCGAAATCTGAACGAAATTCTTCATATCTCGGGCAATATTGGAAGCACAAAAAAGGCAGACCACATTTTGGAAATGGCAGGACAAAGGAAATTTTGTGATTATTATCTCTAGAAATTTACTTCTAAAATTAGGTTGAAAAATAAACGCAGCAAATTATATCAAAAATCAAGACGACATTCAGGTCGTCCTGCATACTGTCATGTTTCGTGGGACACCCTGTAGTAAAATTTATTTACACTAGGTTTACAGGGCACTTCTTTCTGGGTAAAATCTTAGCCTTTTATTACTGATCATTCTGCAGACCTTTCGTAGATTTTGAAACAATATCAATTTCGTAGATTTTCTTCTTCTTTATTTGCATATTTACAAATTTTAAGAAATCAAAATGTTTTGAAAATTTTAACTGGCTAAAATACGTTCCTGGGGTCAACGTAATTAACCACAAAAAATTAGGCCTGATCGGTTCAGTCGTAAACCGATAAACAAACAAACACAAACATAAATAAGCAGGAATGAGGATGAACGCACTTTAAATTCATTAAAAAAAATCCTTATATTTTTACCTCGTTGAGATCCCTCTGTATAAGGAACTGTTTGAGGACACAGATGAGTTTAGAGAGCGGAGGAAACCTCTTCTTGTAGAGTTTAACCAATTCAACCGACCTCAACCCGTTCGCCATGTTGAAGCTAACATCAACCCTTACCCTGGATACTCGGTCCGTGATCTTGATTATTGGAACACTCGCCTTATCCAGTACCTTAACAGATTTTAACAATGAAAACTAAAAATGTTGATATTAACTTAATATAAATATTTCAGTAGAATACATTCTTTAGAAACTATTTATGAGGATAAAATAACTTATCCTTAACTTTGAGTCTTTGATCGGACCCAATTTAATTATAACAACTCACATGATCCCAGGAAAGGGTTATAGACGGTTAAAATGTAATATTTTAACTGGAAAATAATGTCGACAGTTGTTGTAAATCAATTTTAACAGAAAAATCGGCGAAATATAAACAAACTACGAAGATCTATTTTATACCTTGATTGTGTCCGGGTCTGCAATATTAGCGTCCAGCAGGGCTTTTTCCAGGGTTCGTAGTGGAAGAGTTTCCCATTTCCCAACCACCACAAGGTCAATATCACTAAAAACACAAAATTTAGAAAGTTTATTTTTATAAGTTTCTATAATTGCTTACCGCAATAAACGCCTCGGAGAAAACAGGGTTTACTAAAAATTGTTCTCTTTTGATTTCTTACCCAATGTTTAAAAGAATAATAATTTTAAATTTAAGTGAAGTCGCCTGATCGGTGCTAGACAGTAGTAGGAGTTCCCATGTTTCAGTGTACGCTGTTCATGTATTGAAATTAAGCTTTGTGTTCATTGAGTTGATTTTCTCTGGTTTTATAAAATATAAAAATGATTTTTCTTTCAGTCAATTTCAGCCTCTTAAATTAAACACGGTTTTAGTTTACGAAGATTTACGTTCAAGGACAGTAGTTTTCTAGTAAAGAACATATATATGAATATATATACGTTTGTATATTGAGTTGGGATTTAGCCAAATTCTACAGGGAGTATCATCACATTTTTATATTAGTTACTAGAGCAGGGAGAAGATGCAGAGAAGTGACCGGGAAATATTCAAGGGATGAGTCAACCCTCCGTCCTAACACGGGTCAAAAAGTGCAAATTTAGAATATTTACAAGAAATATTAATCATTTTTCCTGCTTACTATGAGTTAGTTTGACATGAAACTGTGTAACCAAGATAAAAAGACTATCAAAAACAAACAAATATATTTGAAAAGTCTGGCAAAGATGTATTGACTCAATTTTTTTTATCAATGCAAAACATGTCTTTGACGCTCAATGTCTTTTATCAATCAGTTTGTTGACATTTTCCTTTCCTTTTCATTTTAAATATTAAAAATAGGAAAATGTTTTCAAAAGAATTTTTATTCTAAGTTGCAACTATAAATTCATCAGGTTTTTATGACCAAAAGTTTCAATAGTTATTGAGAAAACCAAAGTTTTTAATTTCTAATAATCAACAAAAAAACTTGCTATTCTCATGTCTTGCGAAAAATTAACTCTAGAGAAGCTACGAGGACAGATAGTCATAACATAAATTCCTCCAGTAAATAACTGATTTTATGTAGTAGTGCAGCTGAGAATTGTCTGTATTTTGAGAATATAGGACTGCCAGCTTATATAGTTACCAGTTTCTTATGCATTGCACTTATACAACAACCAAGATTTTGCATTTAATTTTACAGAGCAGGCGCTGATTTAAATTCATTTTAGAACTTTGGATAGTACTATTAACCAGTAAAAAAATATATATAGATCAAACTAATTTTATAAATACCAATCAATGGGTGTTTCTTGATGTTAAAAGGGCAAACCGAAGATTGATCAATGTGCGAGTTTGAAACCTCCTCTGCCTTTCTCCAACCGTTTCAATTCCAACTAAAGAACTGCGTCGTTACGCAGAACCTCCGAAAATATGATGAATTACGCACTTTAGACGTACATGAAAACGTACTTGAGCCTCCGGTTCATCGACACTAATGAAAATAAAGAAAACATTCACACAATGTTGTATCCAAGAATATAATATCTAATATCTGGAAGCATAAAACGGCTAAGATGTCGCACTCGCAGTAATTACACATAGTTAACCCCCCACCAAAAAAAAATAGAAAACATCATTTCGACCTGTCAAATGTTTTCTTATCTATAAAAAGTTGTTTTTTTTGGACCATCTTGATCTCTGAATCTTAATCCTTTTCCCCGAGACAATTTAAGCAGTTGATTCAAGAAGCACGGAACCTCTCAGGGCCTGGTTTTCTAGGCTGCGCCACTTCAGCCCCAAACATAACTGTGCCTTGCTTTACACAGTGACCTTGGCATTCAAGCAGGGCTACCTCTAGTACACGTTTTAACACAGAGAAAGGGCAAGAGTTCTTTTAAAAAGTGAGCACTAAACCGCAAGAAAACAATTTAGGTTAATTTTCAAATTTGATTAAGATGGAATATATGAGATGTTTATTAAATAGGATCTAGGTGGGATCCAAAATACGTATTTCCCTAATAGTTATATAAAATAAAGCAGAAACTGAGCAGGTTTTTGTCGTTCAGATTCAAATGAACAATGAAATTTTCAGGGGGGGGGGGACCTTCCCCCTACACCCCCCTTGGACAAGCTTATGAAATTTAAAAAATCCAGTTAATATTAATTCAACAACTTGCCAGGTTAGGACACCGAAGAATAAAACAAAGGAATTACAAACAATCTTTGACATTTTGTATTCAAAGGAAACATGTTCCAGGTTCTAGAAGTATTCAAAGGAAACATGTTCTAGGTTCTAGACGTATTCAAAGGAAACATGTTCCAGGTTCTTGACGTATAGAGGAAACATGTTCCAGGTTCTTGACATATAGAGAGGAGACATGTTCCAGGTTCTAGCCGTATAGAGAGGAAACATGTTCCAGGTTCTTGACGTATAGAGAGGAAACATGTTCCAGGTTCTAGACGTATTCAAAGGAAACATGTTCCAGGTTCTAGACGTATGCAGAGGAAACATGTTCCAGGTACTAGACGTATACAGAGGAAAAATGTTCCAGGTTCTAGACGTTAACACTATACAGACCAAATACAGGAAATAACAAACAATGACTTGACAAAAAAAAACTAGCTGCGTAACAATTAAGGAAATTGATGACAGTATTGATTTGCAACATATTCAAGCTAAAGCATTAAAAACTTTTTTTATCTGGAAGAATAGTAAAGAATATTCCTGTTTACTATAATCAATTATCTATATTTTATCCTACTAACATGTGGTTAAAAGCTAGCATTTTTTCTATTATGGAAAAAAGCCTTTCGTCGTTGAATGGTTCATCTTAATACTCAAACAATCCAATTTAGGAAAGATTAAAATTAAATTAAATGCGATTTAAAAATAAATATATTATTAGTATAGAACAGATATAGTATTAATTATTATTAAAAAAAATAATTTTAAAAACCTGGAATCAAATAATAAAAAAACATTTCATTCAAGAAATAAATAAAGTCACAGAAACAAGCTGTTTTCCACTTTATAATACAGAATCTTTCTAGTTTATTAGAAGTTAGTTGGTACTGACGTGATTTGAACTTATATAGAACAACGAATTCTACAACAAGTGGGTTCCTAGGTATGCTTTCTTGAATATATATTCTCATTCTAATTTTTGAAGAAGACTGAACAGGTTTTAAACAAAGAAGTTTACGCAGAAACAAAAACCAGATGAGCTAGGATTTTTCTACGATTTTCCTGGTTTTTATTACAAAGGCGGGGTGTGGTGCTATTCCTTCGTTTCGATCGCTAAACAGTCTGGTGGCGCAATTAAAGGTTTTGTAATTGAAGAGGAGAGGGGGAAAAGGGAAAATGGGGTGGTGGTGCGGGTCTTACCTCCCCCCTTGTCTCGCCTGTTTGAGGAATCATTAATTTTCCTACAACAAAAAATACTCAAAGATTGATATTTCAATTTTTAATCATAAAAAGGCTTTTTAAAAGCATGAAATGATTTTTCTTAATTGTTTGCTTAGCTCTCCATGCTGGCATTTATTCAGAAAGCTGAGCTCCAGGTTAGCGTAAGTATGAGGAAACTCATTTAAGACCTATGAGACGTTTTTACGGTAAATATATGTTCAGCAAGAGCACAAATTTAATCTTTAAAATCCTCGTAGATAAAATCCTCATTTTTGAAGGATGATTTTGAGAATCGGTTTTAAATAATTTTTTCACCCAAATGGATGAATTTCAATGTCGAATTTGTGCTTGAACTCATTAATTATACATCATTAAAACGTTTTTATTTGTTTCAAGTTAATCCTAAAAAATGTCTTCACAATACTACATTCTCACTTAAACTATCATATATTGCCGGTGTCACCCTTTATATAAAAAAGTACACTGAAGGAAACATGTGAATAAAAATTACCCTTTTTTGAAATTTAAATAGAAAAATTACCATCCATCATATATTAAAAAATATTTAATAAGAAAGGCATCACCAAGTTATATTTCATCAGATTCTTTCAGCTATGTGCGCAATTCCATGCACCCCAACCCTGACAGGTAATGATGATGGTTCAGAAATAAAATTTACGCCGTAAAATAATGCGTAGAAACTACCCCCCCCCCCC